CACAGTGGTTCTCAAAGTGCTGTTATCTAACCAAAAATCACCTGTGAAACCTTAACCATATAGGCTCATGGCCTGTAACCAAGACCCACTGCATCAGAGCTTTTAGAGATATAGCCTGGATTCTTGACGTTGTTGTTTTTTTTTAAGTTTTGTAGGCAATTCATCATTTACTTCTGCGTTGAAACAAATATGCAGTGAGTGTTAAGCCCTTGGAGTAGGTGTAAGTTTAGAGGAAGGAGAACCATGGAGTCTTGTCTTTATATTATGAATGCCTGATGTGCATGTCTTATATCTGTTTAAAATAGATATTTTAAAATCACACAAGTCTAAAAAGCTCAACGTGCAATAAGAGATATAAAAGAAAAAGAAAAACATCTGATTGGAAATTATTATGGGGTAGAGGGAAGCAGTTTAGATTTGAAATCCTTAAGAGGGCCAGGGAAGATATCTGTAAAGAAGTGGCATTTAGCAGAGACCTGCAAGAAGAGTGGACATGGCATGAAGATAAAAGCAAATCACACAGGAACGAGAGCAGAGACAGGAGAAAGAACATATTGTCTTAAACTTAAGGAAAGGGAAAGCTCAGTTAGAGGACAGAGTGTCAAAAGACAGTCAAGAAACCCAAGCCAGCGCATCCTTGCTTAACAACTGGGCTTCAATAAGGAGAATGTATGTGATAGATATAGGCTGTCTAATATTAGAGAAAAATAAGGAAGACATTGAGCTTTCTTGGACCACCATTCTTTGCTTAAGTAGGGTGCACAGAGTAAGTCCCCTAATTCTTGTCAAAGCCATTAAGCAGCGAAAAAAACAACTTAGCAATCATCCAAGCCTAAGGACTAGCTGGATGCACTTTCTTCAGAAATCTTCATATCTGTCAGAGGTCTGGTGGGAACCATGCTAGAGCTCACGAATTGTAAAGATTAAATCCCAGGCTGAAGCTGGGACACACATTCAGGAGAGCTTCTGAGATCACAGGTCACTGACCCTCCAGTGTTTTCCCAACAAAACAGGCTTATTCCAAACTAGCTCTGCACACAGAGCAGGAAATAAACTCTTGGAAGCAAAGTGAGCATGCCCACTTCTGCAGAATATTTGACTCTTCCTGTCAGCATTTTCCTTGTCTATAAATAATAACTATACGACTAGTTACCAAATGCCTTCTATGTGGTAGGTGCTACTAAATGCTTTGCATTTTGACTCTCAGCAAAACTACCAGGTAAATAGTATCATCAGCTTTCTGAAGATGAAACTGAGGCTCAATGAGATTAGCAGCAGGTCAGAGACTTCAAAGCTAGTAAGTAGAAGACATTGGTTTCAAGGCCAGGTTTCTATGAATTCAAAGTTTTCAACACTATATGCCATTATCTTCTGTATTAGTTTTTTACTGCTGCTGTAACAAATTACCACAAATATAATGGCTGAAAGCAGTGATTGTCAACCAGTGTGCTGCAAGAATTTTTAAAACATACCAGACTATTTAGTCAGGGCCACTGACTTCTTTTCCCTTATATTGTCAAATGAAAAAATGACAACAGCCTCTACAACAATAGCTGGTGTGAATGAATTAAAATTATACCTTTTTTTTCTCTCAAATCTGCCAAAAATTTTTTTTTCTTGTGCCACAGAATTTTAGTAATTAGTTTATGTGTGCCATGAGATGAAAAAGGTTGAAAATCACTGGCTTAAAGCAACAGAAATTTATTCTCTTACAGTTCAGGATGTCAAATCTGAAATGAGTTCATAAGACTGTGTTCCTCCTGGAGGCTCCAGGACAGCATAGGTTTTCTTGGGTTTTTTTCTATCTTCCAGAGTCTGCCTCCATCCTTTCGGCTCGTGGTCTCCCTTTCCACCTTCAAAACTAGCAATGTAGCATCTTTAAATCTCTTTCTTTGACAGAGATTTGGTCCTTGGCTTCCCTCTTATAAAGACCTTTCTGATTATATTTAAGACCCACACAGACAATCCAAGATAATTTTCCCATCTCAAGATTCTTAATGACGTTTGCAAAGCTCTCTTGCCATATTATGTAACATCCACAGGCTCCAGGGACTAGGGTGTGGATGTCTTTGGGAACTCATTACTTAGCCTACCACACATGTCTACACAGATTTTCAAAATCTTAGCTGAGTCTGTTGAGGTTGCCCATTGCCATTAGGTCCCCCTTAGTAGCAAATGGTTGTAGCCCAACAACCTGCAGTGTGTGCACTGAATATGACTAGTGGGAGTTTAAAATATGTGTAGAATTTAAATATGTGATAATGATAGAACAAAGGACAGGAGGAAAGTAAATGGAGTTAGAACTTTTAACGCTTCTTGTGTTATTGGGGAAATAATTGTTAATTACAGGTTAATATGTTAAGAATGCATGCTTTCTTTAAAGGAACAATAAAAGAATGTGTAACAAATAATGTAATAAAAGTAACAATAAAATAATAAGTATAACTGATAATCACAAAGAAGGCAAAATAAAAAAGAATAAAAAACATAAGACAAAAAGTAAATAGTAAGATGGTAGATCTAATCTCAAATAATTTCAGTTATATTAAATATAAACAGGCAGTTCCATTTTAAATACAGGTTGTCATGCTGTTGCATTTCCCAAACTGGGGGCTGAGGCACCGGGGGCCTCCCATGAACTCCCAGGGGACCTGTGGGGTGTTTTGAGTTTTCAGTGGAGCCCCAGCAATACTTGATATCCCTCAGACACTGTGTAAACTACTAGCTCAGAGAACCTCTGGACACACTGGGTTGCACTAGGTTCCTCTCGATGACACCAGATCTTTGCAAGGCTGGGTTTTCAGCAGTGCTTGTGAGAAGGAACAAGTACTGAATGAAAATCATATGGAAGGGGACATAAGGTGGCAGTTTACAGTCTGATTCCAAGGTCTGAGAATTTGAGCAGTGCCCAACATCCCATTATCAAATTGTGGTGGAAACAGGCTTACTGAGTTGTTTGGACCTAATTATCTAACAGATGGAACTGTTAAATGTTTCTTTTTTGTCTAGGAACAACATGAAAAAATTACTGACCCTAACAGTGCTGTGAACTGAGTGAGTTTGGGAACGTCTATCCTAATGATTAAAAATAAAAACTATATGGTACATATAAAAGAAACAATATACATGTTCAGAGAAAGAATGGATGTCTATATAAGGATGGAAAACATACCATGCAAAAATAAACCAAAGAAAGCTGACTTGACAAATGAGGCATTATGACAATCTTTTTTTTTTAAATTATTATTGTGTGTTTATATTTAAAATATCATTGATATAATGAAGGTTAAATCTACAACCTTATTATTTCTTTTCTATTTGTCCTACATATAAACTAGACAAAGGAGAATTTGAGGCAAAATTCATTACTAGACATAATTTATCACAAAATATAATAAAAATAAAATTTAAAAGACAGAATTGGAAAAAGAAATAAGATAAATATACTATAAATTGGGATGTTTTAGCACAACCACTTTAGCATCTGGTACAATAAGCAGACCCTCCCCCACCAATCAGTAAGTATCTAGAAGATTTAAGCAAATATGATTTATTGTTGATTGGGCCTCACTGACATACCCAAAACACTACACCTACCACCACAAATGCACCTCTTTAAAAAAATACATAAGATACAGTTACATTAGTTGACCATATGCTGAGACATACAATAAGTGTCAATTTCAAAACTTGATAATAATATACTGCTGAAAATTTCCTCAAATGTTTGTAAATTAAGCATAACATTGCTAAATAAGCCATGGGCCAATGTAGAAATCACAATGGCGTTACCAAATGTTTTGAACTGAAAATATGCATTTGTACACTGGAAACCTATTTAATTTTATTAACCAATAACACCCAATGAATTTTAAAAAGTTAAAAAAACCCAAAAACTGAAAATATGGTACATCAAAACATTGAGAATACAGCTAAATCTATGCTCAGAATAAAATAATAATCTGAATGCTTATTTTAGAAATTATGTAAAGCTGAAAATAAAAATCTAAGTTACCATCTTAAGAAATTATATTTTTTAAACTCAGCAAATAAACTCAGTAAAATTTCAGTAAAGATAAAATTAAGATAAGCACAAATCAATAAATCCAAAAGTTGATTATTTGAAGTCTAGTAAAATTGAACAATTGATTGATATGTATCAATCTACCCTCCATTATTTGAATTAATAAAGTGTGCAGAGAGAAATAGAAGATTAATCAAAACAGAAGGGAATATATTCCTAATGTAAAATATTTTTCCAACAGACATTTCTTCCTTATTACAGAATGTTTAACTCTAAATGGTATTTTTATTACTTTAGTGTAAATCTTTAGGTCTTAAGGGGAAGTAAATGAGTCTAATATTTAATTTCAAGATATGCATTCTAAAATATATGCCCTCATAAAGTAAAGCATAGCTTTAGCTGTTGAGCTTTGTCCACAAAGCATGTGCTGAATTTTCTTGTGCTGCAGGTCTGACTTGGCAACATCTTTTAACAGCTATAAGTGCTCCTGAAGGCCAGAGAAGAGGCTTATAGTCCTGCTAGGTGTGGGTGGTCTGCTGAGAATGCAGATAGATGGAGAAATGAATGATGCTTCTGATAACACAAGAGGATGTGAGAGATGAAGCCAGAGCCTGGAGAATTTCTGATTGACTAAAATGTGAAGCTATGAATTAGCTTCAGTGAAATAATAGGTAGATTAGATATATAGATATACATAAAATAGATACATATTAGATATAGATCAGATATAGATAGATATGAATATAGATATAGATGCATCTTAATGGCCTTCAAAACAGCAGGGGCTTTTTAAATGGGTAGATGCTGATTTAAAAAGCTAATTTCTAAAGTTGCTGCTAAGGGAAGCAATCCTTTTATGATAATTAAAGTGTTCATTTTCTTTTTTGATTACATCTATGAAGCATATTGGAGAAAAGAGGAGGTGGAGTAGAAGTTCCTCCACTGAACTTGATGTCAATGTGATCTTGGTCTTCAGGTCAGTGCACAGCCCCAGCACATCTTCCAACTGCCATGCGTATAACACCGACTGACGAGGCTGAGTTTCCCATTGGAACACGTTTGCAATATAAATGCCGCCTTGGTTACAAGAAGAATTTTTTCTCTATCACCTGTCTAGAAGGCTCTGTGTGGTCAAGCCCTAAAAAGTGTTTTCGTAAGTAATTCTGGACTGAGAACTCCTCTGTATTAGTTAAACATCCATAAGACCTGATGTAATCGTTCAAATTTGGGAATTAAGACAATTATGACTTGATAAGTTTGCCTAAGTAGTAAGATGTGAGAGTTATTCCTACAGGTCATATCTTCCTATTGCTTTGAGTTCCTGGCACCTTCAATACAAGTCATTTCATGAGAAGCTATCATTATAGGGCATGATTGAGGAAAAATCTCTACTCACTAGAGATCTGCCATTTTCACAACAGAAACTGATGAATGACTCAGGAAAGGAAAGAAAAGTGCAGGTATGAACAAAAGCCTAGACTCTGAGACCTTTACACTGGTTGAGTCACAGAGTAAACACCTTGCTAACAAATAAAGTTTACATTTTTCTAGGAGGCACAAGATGGGGATAAGACAGAGACCAGGAGGGAAGATCTTTTTGAAACTGGTGTTTAGTAGGTGGCTGATTTTGAGGCAGTCTTGTGAAATTCCCACATGTGGCAAAATTTGTGGAACTACAAATATGTTTCAGTAAGCTACAGCCAGGCTAGGTCTTCATATACTAAGAGAAGTTCAAAATATTCTACACCCAGTCCCCAAATTCTGCTTCCTTCCCATAGGTAAATCATGTGAATCTCCTCCAGAACTCATAAATGGCAAAATGGAAATAATTGGAGAAGGCACCCAGTTTGGATCAACCATTAAGTATTCTTGTAATGAAGGGTGAGTTGGCAGTAGCATTTTGGGCAGATGGCAGTTCAAAAATTATAACAGCAATCTTTAAACAATAGTATTAGATAGGACAGCTAAACTACCTGTCAGTTAAAAACAAAGCAATAGGGATCTAAGTGAAGGTGGTGGCTTGAATCCAGGCATTTAACTACCCTTGAAATGAGCAAACAAATGTTTCAAAAATAGGAAAAATCTGTATCTATGCTAGAAAATTGGGGGTGGATGCCTGTTGCACAACAAATTAATGCACCTAAAACCAAGTGAAGCATTCATTAGATGGGAAGGACCACCTCTCTAAAGAAGCAAATGAGCCCAGCTGGCATGGTTCAGCGATTGAGCATCTACCTATGATCCAGGAGATCGGGGTTCGATTCCTGGTCAGGGCACATGCCTGGGTTTCGGGCTTGATCCCCAGCAGGGGGCGTGCAGGAGGCAGCCAGTCAATGACTTTCTGTCATCATTGATGTTTCTCTCTCTCTCCCCCTCTCCCTTCCTCTCTCGAAAATCAATGAAGATATATTTTAAAAAAAAAAAAGAGAGAGAGAGAGAAACAAATGAAGCAAACACTGGTTGACCCACAAATATATTCTTACCTCAAAGCAACAAGAGCTGGGGATGGTGGATTCAGAGGGAAGTGGGAAAGAGTGATTTTGGGGGAATGATGGGGCAAATGTAGGGAATGGGCAAATCGTAATTGTTATAGCACCTCTCCAGGAGTGTTCACAGTACAAAAATCTTGCTGTGGACACATTCTTCGCGTATCCTTGAAGATACATCTAGAACTTGCGTGGAGGTGGAAGAATGAAGCAGATGGCATTTCAAAGCTCAGAAGACTGAGTTCTCATGGGAACTAAAGCTCACAAAATGAGGCCAGAATCCACCCACTAAACCTAAATGACATCCATTGCTGTCACACTTTTCATTTGATCTCCGATTGGCCCATTTTGCTGTTTGAATGGAGTTTGTGCTGCCATTATTTTTATATATATTTATAAGGCAGTGTTCTAGCTATACCAAATAACACTCGACTATTATTTGACATTATTTTCTCAATTTGTAGTGCTATCAAGTTTGGCCTTACTCTATACCAATTCTCATGAATGGTTCAGCCCAGCATACCAACACTATACAGAATCTCTCTTGTAGTAAATAGAAATGTCATTAATTTTTCCAAATTTTACAGCACACTTTGAGCAGTTTCGGGCATACTAATTGAGAATTTCTGCCTTTAACATTTAAAATATGAGATTAGTGTTCAGCTCTTTGTTCTGCTTAGATTTCCTTTGGTTCTACTTTGATGAATCTTATTTACCTTAGATTTACATAAAATGTGCCTTAAGGTATTAAAGAAGAGAGATCTCATTCAGTTTAGAAGATCTAAAGAAGAAAATTTAAAAGTCCAAATACAGACATAAAATTTGAGAAATTGATAGTTTGACAAATGGAAATTGTCCTTCTGAATTCTTCAGAACTGCTCTCTCCTGTAAGTAGCAATCTAAGCAGAGACATTACCTGTGTGTTGAGGTGTAACATTCATTATTCTCCACCTCTAGATACCGACTCGTTGGTGAGGCCGTTATTACCTGCATCATCATGGATGAGAACACCGTCTCCTGGGATGATAAAGCACCTGTTTGTCAGAGTGAGTTGACATCTGCTTCTCTATCACCTTTACCAATAGATTCTAAGTTTCCACCCAGATTTATAAAAATCTGAATTGAAGTCCTCTTGTGTGTTCTGTCCTTCAGATAGTTGAAGACAATTCTACTGTCCTCAGAGTACCTGTGGGTTCCCTGGCAGCTGTGTCATTAAGTTCTCCCTCATCTCACGATGTGCCTTTTCTGAATCTGGGGACTTAAATGCATAAAAGCCTCTAAAATTTATTTCTACTTCAATTAATTTGGAATTACGTTGGTTCTGTCATCCCTAGTGTAATAGCCATTCTGTTTGGCAAAGAAATAAAGGTTTATAAAGTGATGGTCTCCAAGGTTGACGAAGCTGTGGAGGAATCAACACTCTCATGTACTGAGGGTTCAACAAACCCTCTCAAAAGGCTTATGTGTTGACCCACTCCTTAGAATTCATACTTAGAACATAAACACCGATTTTTGCAAGCAGTTCACTATAAACTTTTCATTGCTGCATTCTTTATAATAGCGACATTGTTACAATAACCTAAGTGCACTAGACGTTTCAAAATATGGTTTAGAAATAATCTACTGGAAGGAAAGAAACATGATAAAAAAGACTATATAGGATTTCCTAAGAAGCATAAAGTAGCCATGCAGAATTAGAAGAAATACATATGTACTCTGGAATTTTATTCAGCCATAAAAGAAAAATATCATGGAGAAGCACTTACTGACATATAAAGATGTTTATTATGTACATTTTAAGTGAAAAAAATTAGATGACAAAACAGTTTGTATGGCAAGATCTCATTTTATTAAAATATATCTATGCCTATTTCTATATTTTCATCTCTACCTCTAATTCTGTAAACTTTTTCATATTCAAACCCCAGTAAATGGCTTTAAGCCTCCTTGGTGAAGGTTGGGGGGAAAGTTTCATATACATTTTGGCTGTGTAGCAGGATGTTTCCTCAAGAAGATCCAATCTCCCATTTCTTCAAGTTACCCTGTGTCTGGAAATTGGCTCTCAAGTCTGGGAATTGGCTGATGAAGAACCACACTCTCTTTTACAGTATTTCAAGCCAGACTTCTGGTCACCAAACCTAGATCTTCTCTGCTTATACAAACTGACTAACACTGTAGTTTATTTTTCATCTACTTCACTTTTTGAGATTCTATGGTCAATTAACTGATGACAAAGATCTCTTCAGATAAATCATTCTGATTCCTGTTTCAATTGTCTCTTGCAACTCAGTGCTGCCACTTGGCCTCTGCCATTCTGAGGCTCTCTCATCCCCCTTGACTTCAGGGAACTTGGTTCAGTAGCAGCAGTTCCCAGTGTCATTCCTAGCTCCTTGTGGTCTGCTTGCATCTCTGGTCAGCAGAGCTCCATGTCAGGCACCATGGAGCAGGCCCCTGACTTAACTTCGTTTGACTTTAGTTAATTTGTATAGTTTTCATGCCTCTCTCCTATGTTAATAAGATTTCTTCCTCTGAGGTATGTTAGCAAAGTTCAGTCTTTCAACTTCATTCAGCATAGCCCACCCTCAATAACACATTGAATTCAAAATCTCACTTCTTTGGGTGCATTTGCACCTCTCATGAGTCATAGTTTTTATTCCCCCCACTCCATCCCGAATCCTGCCAGGACTTGAAAATGGTCAGAGCACTAGAAATGATGACAGGTGGTAGGGGTAGGTCCTAAGGAAAATCAATTGTCACCATCTGAGTTGCCGAGTTTAGTAAATAAAAATAGAATATACCTAGTGAAATTGGATTTTGGATAAGCAACAGATATTTTTGCAGTATAGATATGTGCCATGCAATTCTGAGATATATTTATACTTAGAAATTAGTTATTATTTTTCTAAAATTCAAGTTTAACTTGACTACCTATATTTCCTCTGGCAACCCTATCAGAGCACTTCCCCAGGAGGGGCCATTAGAGTTCCTTCAGGCAAGGGGAGGCATGCATCCTCAGATAGGGGAGGAGGGGCCACTTGTCCTAGCAAAGGACAACTCAGCAGAATTGCCAGGTTCAAGGTACTCAGCTTCGTTAGAATCTGAACATATATCTCCATCTCGGTTTTGAGAATGCTCTTCCAAGCAGTGCTCCAACTGTAACATAGAGACTCTGTGAAGTTGTGAATTCAATTTGCATGAAAATTCAGCCACAGGAGTGGATGTTGGATTTGCCTTTCAGAAATCTTGGCCTTGTGGCTCCAGGATGCAAGTGTTCTTTGAGGGCAGATATAGAAGCTTTCAGATTCAGACCTTGAACAGGAATTTAAAGCTTTGAACTCATAGCTTTCATTCTCTCAAGTTCTCTGATGCACTTAAAAACGAGCAACGGAGCCCATTATATGCCTTCCCTAAAGTATTCAAGGACAGCAGCCCCTTAGTCACTCCAAGCCTTGCTCCCACGCTTACAGATGGCTACAGGTGGTAACTAGGTGATCTTTTGTCCCTGTATGCCATTGACTACTTGTGTGCCCTTTTCCACAAGCAGCATTAGCATGAATTCTTAAATATAATCATATTAAAGAATCAATCCCAGATTTCTCTATTACCCTGGGATAAATATTGGTCCAAATATGGAAGCAGAACTACTATCCGTATTATGAAATAAGAGATTTGTTATGAAATTAGACCTTATTGTGTGAGGAGCTACTCTAAAAAGATGAGAAACACCACTAGTGAGGTGACTGGGAGTTGGGGCTTTCAGGAAGCTGAGCACCCCTGGCTGCAGGAGCAGAGCTGGGAAGGGCTGGCGCAGAAGCTGGGAAAGGGTTGTTGGCTCTTTGCTGCAGCTGCTGCTGCTGCCAGTTAACACTGGCGCCTGTGACAGTGGCTAGGAATCGGCGTAAGGGAGCGGGACCAACATTTTCAAAGAGCTGAATGCAAACACAGGGAGAGCGAGAACAAGCTGGAACCCCTGGCTCCTCTGCATCGGTCCCCTAGTCACCTCCAACCAAGAATGACCTTCAGAGGGGAATGGCTGTTGCTTCACTTGTGCCTCTCAAATTTCAGGCCAATTTCTCAGGCTCCAACCCTAACCTAGAGCCATACGGGCAAATAAGTCTGGGAAACATAGTTTCAGCAAGCCTGAGTGACACTGCACAAAACCACTAGATAATTATAACTTTTCTTTTCTTCTCTCCCCCTTTTTTCCACCTCCCTCCCTCTCCCCCTCCCTCCCCCTTTGTAGCTTTCTCTGTCTTCTTAAATGATTATTGGTAATTTATGTTTTCCATTTATATCATTTAAGTTTTCAAAATGTTTAACATACAGTTGTCTACAGTTTCATAAATATTCTCATGTATATGTAAATATGTTCAAATTCTATTTCTTACTGCTGTATATCTGTGTTGTCTCTCCTTATAATTTTTTTCTTAGCAAGGGTATTTTTATTTTATTTCTTTTAAAAGCTATACTAGTTTCATTTATAACAAAAATGAAAATTAAGAAGGCAGTTGGAAAAAAGTAGGGGGAAAACTGTGTAAACTATGGTATAATAGAATCATTTTTGTAACGAAAAGAATATGAACTGTATTAATTGATGGGTATGTTCACAGGAAATAATATATGTAGGGAAAGCAGAATTATGTTTTTTATTATGCCCACCTAAATTACAACTTTGTAAAACCTAATCTACACCCTAGCAAAGATTAAAAGCAAATAATGAATGTAAAAATAACACTTTAGTGACTCATTGGATTGTTCTCACTAGTTATTTCAATTCACTGTTACTTAAATAGCTTTCCCTTTCCCAGGTATTTACTGTAAGCCACCCCCAACCATCGCCAACGGATATTTCTCTGACAGCGACAGAGATTATTTTCAATATGGGGCGGCGGTGACCTATCGCTGCAACTCTGACAATAGAAGGGAAAGGTTTGTCCTCGTGGGAGAGCCATCAATCTACTGCACCAGCCAAGGTCAAGTGGGCACCTGGAGCGGCCCTGCCCCCCAGTGCATCATACCTAACAAATGCACGCCTCCAGAGGTGGAAAACGGAATCAGGGTGTCTGGGAACAAAAGCTTGTTCTCCTTAAACGAAGTCGTGATGTTCAGGTGTGAGCCTGGCTTTGTCATGAAAGGACCCTACAGTGTGCACTGCGGGGCCCAGAACAGATGGGAGCCCGAGCTGCCCAGCTGCTCCCGGGGTGAGTCTCACCGAGGCTCCGAGGGGCCTGCAGATGACGGGGGCTGCAGGAGCCCCGGGACACCAGTGCTTGTTCTGGGACAAGGCGTGTGGTGGGCGCTGTGAGTAATTCTTTGAGAGAAGCCTGAAATAAAGAAGGGGTACATGTGTGTGCACCTCAGTACGTGTGTCCTCATCTTGAGAAACAAGAGCTGAATTCATCAGGGAAGGAGACGTTCGGGACCCTGCCATCGAGCAAGTCTCAGGGCAAAGTCCCAGCTCAGTTANATAGACTAGCACATATATTCAGTTATTTTTATTGCTTTTGAATCTGTGATGATCATGTGTGTGATACTGTATATTTAGGTTTTATCTCTTTTTTATTAGTGATGCCATAGCTTCTTTGCTTTGATTTTTTTTGATAAAGATACTATATGTGCACGACATCATATGAGTAACCAGTAGATTAAAGCCAAATTCCTTTTATAACGAGAGAGCTGAACTAAGAACAGTGAAGTAACGTAAAACTCGTCACTTGCAAGGAGAAGCCCGTGGACTATGTAATACATGGTCATGTGCTGAAGCGATGTTCACTGAGAAGGGCGGGAGCCATCACATTGTCCTTCCCACATCTCCAGTCGTGCACAAAGTCTGGACATTAGAAAACATTAGGCACGAGCAGAAGTGCTGTGAATGTTCACTTTTGGTAACTGGGGTTTTTTAACAAAGCTGTTCACCAAAGTTTATGATGAAGTGTCACGTTAACAACTCGAGGCTTTGTTTAACTTGCTGTCCCTTTGCCAGGCATTCACTGTAAGCCACCGCCAACCATCGCCAACGGATATTTCTCTGACAGAGGCAGAGATTACTTTGAATATGGGGCGGCGGTGACCTATCGCTGCAACTCTGACAATAGAAGGGAAAGGTTTGTCCTCGTGGGAGAGCCATCAATCTACTGCACCAGCCAAGGTCAAGTGGGCACCTGGAGCGGCCCTGCCCCCCAGTGCATCATACCTAACAAATGCACGCCTCCAGAGGTGGAAAACGGAATCAGGGTGTCTGGGAACAAAAGCTTGTTCTCCTTAAACGAAGTCGTGATGTTCAGGTGTGAGCCTGGCTTTGTCATGAAAGGACCCTACAGTGTGCACTGCGGGGCCCAGAACAGATGGGAGCCCGAGCTGCCCAGCTGCTCCCGGGGTGAGTCTCACCGAGGCTCCGAGGGGCCTGCAGATGACGGGGGCCGCAGGAGCCCCGGGACACCAGTGCTTGTTCTGGGACAAGGCGTGTGGTGGGCGCTGTGAGTAATTCTTTGGAAGGAAGCACTAAAGTAAGAAGGTGTGTGGGTATGTGTGCATGCATGTGTGTGTGTTCAAGTTGAGAAACAAAGCTAAATCTGGGCATGGAATGTGAAGTCTCTTTAGGATTCTTAGAGAGGTTAGAGAACTTTCCAAGATTAAACAGATACTAACTTGCAGACTGAAGACTGAAACCCAAGCCTGCCTGACTCCAGAGCCATGGAAATCAAACACCACTCCCTATTTTTCAAGGAGTTGGGGGTTCAGTGCGGATAATAAAATACAGGATATTGGAAGGGCAGGAAGAGCAAAAGGAGAAAGACTGTTTCCAGAGAGCAGGAAGCTGCTGTTCGTCCTGCACACGCACCTGCACTCCCGGCCGAAACTGTCACTGAGCAGGCCTCTCCTCCAATGCCACCCCTGCGGCCAGGAGGCAGCTGAGATCGCTGGAGCCAAAGCCATCATTGCTAGGACCGAAGTTGCTGCTGCTAAGCAAGAGCCATCAACATTGCTGCTTCCTGAGCCCGCTCTAGAAGAATGGTTTTGACCATCTGCCCACCTTTTAATCTGCTATATAGGCCACCAGTTGACAGAGTCTAACCACAACTCAGCTGGCAAGGGAGATGAGCAATCATAGTTTGCAGGCATTTCGCCCCAACAAAGGAGAATGCAGAGGTATGAGGCTGGGAGTTCAAAGACATTTAATCAACAAAGCACTTAAATATCACATCACTGTGTATTTATTAATCCAGGGAGGCAGAGGGGTAATGAGCCCTGAAAATGAGTTTTAGAGCCTCAGAGCATTTTCAGAGTCCTTAAGGGAGTCATTATTCTAGTCTAATCCCTCATTTTATGCTTAAGAAATCTGAAGTCCAGAGAGGGAAACTGATCTGCTCTAAGTCAAAATGAAATGATTTATCAGTTTGCTACAGTTTTATGCAATTTATTTGAGATGAAAGTGACTTCTAATTGAGTTAAAACCAACTGTTTAAAGAGACAGTCAGAGACTGAGGTGCAATATGCTGTATGCAATGTGCATTCTCTTTATGACGGCTGTACTTATTTTTAAAAGATTTTGTTCAGTGGTTTCCCATCTTCTCATTGGAATGAAATGAATCGTTAAGCGGTACCTGGTCATGTAGAGACTGAGAGTTCTTTTCCAACCCATGTCAGGAGGCCACTGAAGAAGGAGTTACAAGGAATGAGAAGAAATGTGAGGCCAGTTTGCTGTACCAGAGAGTGATGGGTGACTGGCAAATCTGTTAGATGAGATTTGGGCACAAACATTCCTTATTGCCTAAAAGGTGGACTATAAATTGGTGGTGCTTTTCTAGAAAGTAGTATGAAGATATAAAAAAAAATTGTTCAATCTTAACAATTGTATACTGGGTAACCAGTAATGGGAATCATTCTAGAAGGGAACTGTCTGCAGTGCAACTTGGGTGAGCATTTTATTTTATATTTTTTAAATATGTTTTCATTGATTTCAGAGAGAGGGAGGGAGAGGGAGAGATAGAAACATCAATGATGAAAGAGGGTCATTGATCAGCTGCCTTCTGCATGCCCCCTTCTGGGGATCAACCCAGAAACCCCAGCATGGGCCCTGACTGGAAATCCAACCAAGATCTCCTGGCTCATAGGTCAATGTTCAACCACTGAGCCATGGGGTCAGCATTTTAGATGGAAAAAAATGAACTGAGGAAACCTCAGTTCTAGTACAGTTCTGTGGTGTATGAGTTCTGTGGCTTTGGCAAGCCACATCCTCTCTCTCATATTGCAATTAATAGAATGAAGAGGTTAGTCGACTGGGTCTTCCAAAAAACATGTAGACTTACAGCTATGATTCTTTTGGCCAATTTACCACAGAGGAAAAGTGACTTCCATACAATTAACAGCACTTGGGTCTCTTCCCCAGTTTGTCAGCCGCCTCCAGAAATCCTGCATGGAAAGCACAACCTCAGCAACAGGGGCGCCTTCTCCCCTGGGCAGGACGCGACGTACAGCTGTGAGCCCGGCTACGACCTCCGAGGGGCTGCCTCTCTGCGCTGTGCGCCCCAGGGACACTGGAGCCCAGCAGCCCCCACATGTGCAGGTGCCTACACTCTCTCCGTCTGCTTTGAAAGCTTTAGCTGGGGGTTCCTTCCCCAGGTGCCATTGTTACCTCTGTTTGTTTCTCTTTCTCTCCAGTGAAATCATGTGCTGCCTTCCTGGACCAGCTTCCTAATGGCCGTGTGCTCCCCCCATTTAATCTCGAGCTGGGGGCAAAAGTGACCTTCGTTTGTGATGAGGGGTGAGTGTGAGCTTGCCTGGCCCACTGGACGCTGAAATTGGAGTTAGAAGTTAATCCCAAAAGGGAAGGTTTGGTGTAGCTAAAACATTAATTCAGGGAGATTGAATTTTGGAAATGTGTAAGAAAAGTAAGCAAGGAGCAGGGGGAGCTAATAACACGAGATATGGACGGAAAATCGGGACATTTGTTAAATGGCAGGTATAAAGACAAATAACAAGGACTGGTTGTGAATATATATGTGTGTTGCCCTAATTGAAAAGAAATCATATTTTCTAAGCAAGAAAGAAGAAGAGCAATTTGGAGAGTCCCAAGAAAAGTTTGATACAAAACAAAAAGCTTATTAAAAAGAATTCAGACGATTTGAAAATCATTTTGGTCATTTTTTAACCATCAGAAGGAAAATTTGAAATAAGAATGAAAGTATAAGAATAAGCATTTTAAATCTAATGCTGTATCTTCTGGTTAATAATGGGATGGGCCAAGGGCTCTGAACGGGATCCTGGTGGCCGATGACATCTCTGCACGGGAAGGATCACGTGTGAGCTACAAGGGGCCTGATCTCAGACTGTTTCAGAGAATCCGGCAGGCCCCCAATGCTGGTATCTGATCAGATTTAGGAGCCATCAGGGTCCCACATACATTGCGAATTCGGGGCGATTTCATACAAAGGTCATTCCTGATCTCCTTGCCTCTTGCCCTAGCTGCTCAACTTACTCCTCAGGAGCCCAGGGTGCTGTTGGGGACCATCACAGCCGTCGCAGCCCCTGAAGCAAAAGAACAATCTGTGTTCTCTCTCCAGTGATTCCCTGCTTTTCCCCTCCAAACTGGGAGCTGTTTTACTTGCTGTTCCAGTGTCCGAATCAGGAGGCTGTTGCATTAGAAGCCTGGCTTTCCCATCATGACAATGAGGAGATTTATCAGGCTTATCATGGGATGATCAGCTAGAGACTGACTTCTCAGAGCCTGGGTCCAAGATCGAGGAGTCCGCTGCTCTGCTATGACGGCCTTCTTCAGTTCAGGCTTGAACGACAGATTATGTGACCAAGTCACTGGTTTTTCTTCCTGAAGGCTGTGATTTGTCCAGATGGACATGGCCTCCAAACTTCTGCTACCTGTTGGTTTCCGATGCTAAGATTTTTGGCAGGGCCTCAGATTGCAAACCAAAACAGCTCACCTATGCACTACCGCTTTCTCCTTCAGATTCCAACTCAGAGGCAGCTCTGCTAGTCATTGTGTCTTGGTTGGAACGGAAAGCCTTTGGAACGGCAGTGTCCCTGCGTGTGAACGTGAGTACAAGGAATAACACGAGGCCAACCCCCCTTAACCTGTTTAGTATCTGACCCCTGTGTGGTTCTTCTATTTTCTAATCTGAATTATTGAGAGATAGTTGCCTTTTCTAATACCATGCCTTTGTGATCAATATGTTGTCATGCCCGTCGCTGTGCATCATGTGTTTGGGGAACCATCTGCTCTGTCTCTGTCATTTTGAATTCTGTGTTCTATGCGGCATATCCTGCAGTAGTTTACCTCTAGGTCAGGAGAGATTAAATAACAACAAGCTTTGACGCATTCCTTCCTTTCTTTCTTTCTTCCTTCTTTCCTTCCTTCCCTAATTCTTGCTTCTTCTTTTTCTTTTCTACCATCACGATGCAATCTCTCTACAATTTCTCTATCTATTTCCTAATCTGTAAATATGAAACATTCATTCATTCTAACGACTGTGTACTGAGCACATAGCATGTGCTTGGCACTCTTCTAAGGACTGTGTTACAGCAGTGAACACAGTAAGTTAATGCCCTGTCCCCATGTTATTTATGCCCAAGTGGGGAGAAGGTCAGGAAAAACAACAAACAATTAACTGTTATGGAAGTGATAGGTCAGAGCACAGAAACAACGAGGGGAAAGTTGGGAACAGCATTGCATGGGGTAAGTAGTTTAAGACTCCTTAACTCTCAAAACATATCCATAAATAAATTATGTTGAAAGATTCAGAAGTAATAAACCGATTACAAAATGAATCTCCAGCCATGGACGGGTGGCTCAGTTGCTTGGAGCATTGTCCTGTACACCAAAGGGTTGTGGATTCGATCCCCAGCCAGGGCATGTACAGGATCCAACTGATTAATGTTTCCCTGTCACATTGATGTCTCTCTCTGTCTCTCTCTTTCCCTCTCTCTCTCTCTAGAGTCAACAAAAACATATCCTCAGTTGAGGGTTTAAAAAAAAAAAAAAAGAGTCTCCTGCGTGTACCATCAATACCAAGTTGTCCTAGTCTACCCATAGATATTTTCCCAAAAACGAGGCAGGACTTTGCTTCATCTCTTAATCTTAAAGATTGGAACATATATATATTAAACAATCAAATTTTACTACCATGTTTATGTTGCTAGAAAGCTACTCAGATATCAACATGTGCTTTTTCTACTAAAGCTTATGAGAACACAACTTACTTATAGATGTCTGCTACCCAACGTTCCTTGATGAGACATGATAAGTGCTATCCACTGGCATGCATGAGACTCTGGTTATTGATTGGGAATCTTTCTTATTTCTCATGACTCTTACTGTTCAAGTAGCTTCCTCAAAACCCGAAACCGAGCTAGAAACACCAATTAGAAGTGAGAAGGGAACTATTTTATGTAGAGGAGCAGATACCAGAAAGGAGAAACCATTTGAAGACTGATAGAAAGTAAAGAAGAAAACTAAATCATAAACAGATGCATACATTTCAAAAAATAAAGCAATCTGAATTTGCGTAGAATTTCACAATGGCCGTACATGTTGCAATCCATTGTGTCAGCACCTTGTCATAATCGACATTGATTCCAGTATCAATAAGGTATCAAGGAAAAGTTCATATCCTTAAGGTGATTAGTACGTGTGGACTATATTATAGAACTAGTTCCCGAAAATATCCTCCTTGGACAACAATGACTTTATCTTTGCTCTTCACCACTATGTCCTAGGACTCCAGCGAGTGCCTGACACAGAATACGTGTTCGAGCAATATTTGTTAAGTAGTTGAATGAGTTCCCCTCCTTTGGGTTATTTTTCTTCTTCAAAAGTTTGGCTACTTAATTTGAGAGTGTTATGTTTCTATTCTCCAAAAGACTTAACCACCTGGAAGATTCAAGACAAGCAAATTGATTTTCTACTTGTTCAATAAACAGTGACATTGAGATCGTTTTTCGTTTAGTCCATCTCATCAAAGGCCAACAGCAAAGATATACTGTCATAAGTGTTTTCTAGGTACCACTAACCATAGCCCCCTACGACTGTAGATGGCCTCTGGTGAAAACTCCTCAAAGGAACTTACAGCTCTTGTCTTCTTTCCAGAAATCTTATGTCAAAAGCCTCCAGATATCCGCAATGGAAGACACACAGGAAAACCTCTGGAAATCTTTCCTTTTGGAAAAGAAGTAACTTACACATGTGACCCCCACCCAGACAGACGGATGAACTTGAGCCTCCTTGGGGAGAGCACCATCCATTGCACAAGCGACAGTCAAGGCAATGGGATCTGGAGCGGCCCTGCCCCTCGCTGTGGACTCCCAGGTTACTACATACCGTGCCCCATCCCAAATGGCTCCAGAAATGTCTAGAACAGAACTTCCAAAATCTTCTAATTACAGCATCTTGCGTATTTGTGCACTTGACACAATTCAAAGCAAAAGCATAAAGTAATAAATGACTTTAAGATATGTCAGCACATGAGAGTCTCATGACCTTTGCTGCTAGAGTGTTGGTGAGAAGAGAAGGACATAAGGGGGCGGGTTTCTAATTCTACCTAGCATTGGAAGGAAAATGTTTTCAAGGCATAGAAATGGAAAGCAAACCCCTATGGACCTTAACTAACATAAGTTATGCCAACGACAGGACTTGGAGGGAAGCACGGGCCAGTACACAGTAGAGCCAGGCAACATCGCTCTTCATGACCTATTTGGCCTAAGAGCCCTGGGCATTCTCTGTGAAAACTCAGCTGCATTACAGACAAACCATATAGATTCCTTTAGCCAATTTGGGCAAAGCTCTTAATTAAAATAGGGTTCGTTTGTTCCTTTGCCCCCAGTTGTTTTAGTTGTTCAAGTCTTCTCACTTTGGTGGAAAGAAAGAGGAAACGAAAATGCAAACTAAAGAGAGTGTGTATTTCTAAGGTCTGGGGATGGTTTCCTAAGACACCCAACCCCTCCTTTGACATCCACCTTCAGGAAGTGCAGACTGGAGGGAACAGGTCAGTTACAGAAGGGGCTCCAGGTCTGGCATTATCTACTGACCCCTGGGAAACTCTGAGAGAAGGAGCAGCTCTAACAGGAAAGAAAGGACCAAGTGCTAGTTGCTCAGAAGTCACTTTTACCCTCACTCTCCCCCTCATCACATGGCTTCGGTTGGGGGTGCACATAGGAGCTTTTTTACCAATGTAGAGGCCTAGTCCACATTTACTGGATCCATAGTATGAGACCATCTTCCCCTATGTTTCATGGTGTGTGTTTTTTTCATCAGCATCCTATCTGAGATGGCAGCCCTAGTGTTATCAGCTACATTTTTAGACTAGGGACCTGCAAGGCTGTCTTCATGTGTGATGTGGCCTTAGTGGGAAATTCCAGTCATCATAAGGACTCTTTCAACTAGAAACTAGTAGATCTAATATTTAAGCTCTAAGATAGATGTAAACTGGCATTGTAGATGGATCAATTTCCCATGAAAAACCCTGAAAATAAGCCCCATTTTTATACTGAGGAAAAGGGTTGACTTATCTTCAAGGGATGAGAAATTGGTTTTGAAATCTTGGCATAGAAAATGCTCTGGGTGCAGAATTGGCTGTAGTAGAGTTATTACTATTTGAGTAAATAACTGGAAGGGAAGTGGTGGGCAGCTGAAAGAGAAGCTAAAAGAGAAGCTATTGTCAAAACCAAGGGGAAATTATTTCTATTTTTCCAAGCATATGTGCTGTTTTAGATTCTCATTATCAGAATCCAAAGTGAACCTAGGGCTAATAGGCCATGGGGGAATGGAGCTAAAGCCAGAGTCTGATTCAATTTACACTTCAAACAATGTTTCCTTACAATATAGGTATAGTTTTGTTTTATTTTGAAGAAGTGCTATTTGTTTTCTCCTTGTGTTGAAGTGGCTTGCTTAGGAATCAGATGTACAAATGTGGTGGCTGCTTCCCGGTGTCAAGAAATACGTTCAGTCTTCCATTTAAGCTTGTGAGTCCTCCGTTGGGGTTTTGGTTTACTGAAGTACAAGGAAATCAGACAGGATTGGTGGAACCTGGGCAGGAGGACTTTTTCTGGCTCCCTAAAAGTGTCAAAAATGGAATTGAAGTTGTCTTTTACAGAAAATGATATGAGCAAAATGACCAGATAGCAGAACACCCGCCAGATAGTATGTTTTTTAATGTGCATGAGCTAATGGGACTTTTCCTCACAAGGTTACAAGGAAATTATCTTTCCCGAACTAACCATTTATTGTTGTTGTTTTGGCATCAAATCTAATAAGAGAGAGAGAAAGAAGGGCATTGGGTACCTTTATGTTAAATCTGATGTCCTTGATATCTTGGTTTCCAGGTTACTGTAATGCTCCAGATAAATTTCCATTTGCCCGGTTGAAAGTCCAAACCAATCAATCTGCCTTTCCTGTCGGGACAACTCTAAAGTATGCATGCAGCCCTGAGTACTACGGGTGGCCATTCTCTATCAGGTGCTTAGACAGCCTGGAGTGGTCACCTGCCAAGCATGGCTGTAAACGTAAGTAAACCCTGCATCGGAACTTCCCATGTCTGTCAATTTACCCATAGAATCTTGTTTAACATTTTCCAGTTTCAGAGATAAGAAAACTTTGCTTCTCAAAAGTGTCCAGAGGGGTGGATGTAAGAGTTGGTGGTGTAGGTCATTGCTAATTACTAGTTGAAAAGTTTGTTTCATGAGGTTCTTTTAAGAAATATTTGCAGGGCGGGGGAGAACCACCATCCCTCATGGGAAAGTAGATAATGAATGACTTGAGACCAGAAAAGAAATTGTAAGGAGACATAAGCTGTTGAGTAACAGGTAGGAAGACAGAAAATTATGCTGCTATGACATAAGGCTGTAAGTAACCTCTATATTTTGATGAGAAATTTGAAGTAGAGATAAGACAGATCTGGGCCAGAGGACTTCGCTTCAGTGGTGCTTGGACAGTAGCTGATNATATTTTGATGAGAAATTTGAAGTAGAGATAAGACAGATCTGGGCCAGAGGACTTCGCTTCAGTGGTGCTTGAAAAGTAGCTGAACTTCAGGCAGTCTGCTGAGGGAAAAATCAGTGGAACAATCAGAATTTCATGTACTCTTTAGTAAGCTGCAGTCAGGTTGGGACCTTATGTACTACAAGTTTCAGATCACTCTACCTGGCGGCAAAATGCTCTTTCTTCCCTATAGGTAAAGTATGTACAACTCCTCCAGATCCTGTGAATGGCATGACGCACATAGACACGGACACCCAGCTCGGATCCAGAATTAATTATTCTTGTAATACAGGGTGAGTTGGCAATAACATATCCTGGTTCAAGATTTGCAGAATCGCAATACTACCTTGTAGTCGCATCTTGGAAAGGAGAACCCGGCAGACTATTAACAGCCGCTTTTTAAAAGCCTGAATATAGGTGTTGAAATGAGCTAAGGTTTGAGAAGGTTCAGGGGAAAATCTGTAATCTTGATGGAAAGCACAGCAGTGCGCACAAGAAAAGGGAAATGCTCAGCAGGTGGTAAGGAAGGAATAAGGGGAGGGCATAGTCAAAGGACATAAACAGCCCTGATCCAGATGGGACATTGCGGGAACAAAGGGAAGGCCATGGAGCTCTCGTGTGAGCAGCAAGCCTTAAAGGTAATGCCCTGTTAGTTTGCTAGGGCTGCCATGACCAAGCACGGCCAGCTGGGTGGCTTAGAACAGAAACTTATTCTCAGCCAGTTCTGGAGGCCGGAAGTCCAAAGGTAAGGTGTTGGCAGGACATGCTCCCTCCGAAGCGTCTGAGGGGGGACCTCTCCTGCCTCTGCCAACTTCTGGAAGCCTCAGGCCTTCCTCGGCATGTGACACCACCGCTCTCGGCTCTGCCTCTCCTTCCCGCGGCTGCCTTCTCTCTGGGCCTGGGCCTCTACATAGCATTTCTCTTCTCTGTGTGGATCTATGTCCAAAGTTCTCTCTTTTTACACGGATGGCAATCATGTTGGATTCAGGGCATCCTAGTGACCTCATCTTGACTTGATTTCATCTGCAAAGGCCCTATTTCCAAATGAGGTCACACTCCTGGGACTTGAACCGAACTTTCTGAGGAACTAACTCTTCAACCCTGTAACAGAGCCCCTGTGAAAACCCCAGTCACACAGTGGGCACCGGGCAGTGGTCCTGCCCTTGGTGCTTACCCTCGCTCAGCGTACAGAGGACTCCTGAGCACACTGTGAGCGCTGAGCCCGTTAGAGAATCTGGGCTAACCTCGAGCGGCAATAAGCACCGAAAGTCATCTGTGGTCTCTCATGGAGGTATTTGCCACCCTAGGCCTAGCAGACCACGGTGCCTATAATCTGGCAAAGTCAAATTCAAGTAAATCTAAATACTTCTCTCCTTCCCTGAGCTTTCTTCAATACGATCTACAAATTTTCTGGCCGTGCCATCTTCCTCTTGCATTACTGAATGAAGGTGAGCCTGTCTGCGTATGAAACAGCGAACCATTGAGCTTAAAGGTCACAGGAGGTGGTGCCATAGAGACCAACCTGAGAAATCAGGAAGAATTTCCCCTTACAAAGCAGAGTTACCTCCAAGAGATGGGGAAAACTTTTGGAAAAATAGGCCTTTTAAATTTTTGACGAGCTTCAGTAGCACACTGCTTTTGTCAGAGGAGGTGGAAATTGGGAATGTTTGCACATGAATGGAAAGCACGGTGTCAAACAACAAACAAAAATCTGTGGTGAACACACTGAATTATGCAGAAAGTTGATGCAGACAGTAAGAAAAAAATTAATCCAATTCTCCCTGAGTTTAGTGGAAAAGAATAAAGAAAAAGAAAACAGAGAAGCTGTGTGTAAGACAGACAGAATGAGAGTTGAATCAGGGAACAGAAATTCTAACAGGGAACGGAACAGGCCGTTCCTTAGCCGTCACTAGGGAAACGGCTGCATTTCAGGAACAGAGGTCTGACTGTGGGTGGTGGGCACACAGTGGATATACAGGTGATTTATTATAGGATTGTACACTTGAAACCTATATTACTTGATTGACCAATAGCACCCCAACACATTTATTTTAAATAATAATAATAAGTGTTTTTAAAAACTTCAAAATTCAGAAAGGAAATTAATAAACTATAAAACCAGCAAAAGAAATGCTTCATATTGAGTAACGGTGACCCTTCACGTCACTAAATTGCAGAAGGTAGAGTTTCTAACAAGCCAAGCTAGTCTTCATGTCTAGAGGCTCCAAATAGATACTGAAGGAAACAAATACACTACTTAAGTACACATTCTGGAAAGAGGAAGATTGATTCCAGGCAATCCAGAAATAATTTTTTAAAAAGGGAAAAAGTACAAAAGTAATATCAGTGAGGTGGAAAGTTTGTAAAAACAAAACAAAAAAACAAATTTAAAAAAGCATGGTCAACTCTTTTCAACAAAGTTATGAAACTAAACACAAGGACAGAACTAATTGTTCAAAAGTGAAACTTTTCAATATAATAATAATTCAATAACAACCTCTAGAGCCATACAATGTGTCCATAAAACTACAGAATGGGAGAAAGCAGGGCCAGATAGGTTAGACTTCTATTATATAGGGACCTGATAAACTATGCATATTTTGATATTAAAGTTGAGAAACTGGGTTTAAATACAATAGACACACATGAAAGGACATTTCTAATGGAATAAAATTGGATATTTAACTCCGAAATTATTAGACCACCTGAAAGAGGTTCCCCCGTCTGGGTCACATAGAAAATAAGAAGGGAGAAAAAGGAATGGTAAGGAATGCAGCTTCTCTTCTGCCGAAACAAACCCCTCATGTTGAAGGCAGGTGTGTGTCATTCACTGCTGCACCCTCATCCTTGGGCCCTGTGAAACCAGTGGTCTAAATAATGATGACAAAAGCAAGATAAAAATGCCACGGGATTCAGTAAACCTGAAGGGTTTCATCTTCCCATTGAAAGACAAAGGCTTCCAAATAGGATTAAAAGCACCAACGATGGTCCTGTACTTACAAGAAACTTGCCCAAATTAAATGGCATAGCCGTGTTAATTACATGCGAACATCAGGAGCACCCAGACAAATTCTACAATGGCCATAGTAATATAAGAAGAAAACAGAATTTAAGAAAGAAATTATCAAGCAGGCCTACAAGAGGACTGTTTTATTTCCATTCCTCATGCACTCCACAAGGCAGCCAAAAATTAACAAGCCGTGTATTGCCATGAGGAATTAAAGATGACATGTCCCTTTCAATAGTCAGGGGACAGGAAAAGAGAAATAAGAAAACCCGGGTAGAACAGGTGGGGTTTGGGCAAGTCCTTACACTTCTCCCAGAATGTTCTCAGTCCAATCTGGCGCCTATGCGTGCCCTGAGGAAGTTAACGGGAGGTGCACAGAATAATTGTCACTTTTGCCTTTAGGTATCAACTCATTGGTCCCTCATCTGCCAAATGCATCATCTCAGGCAATACTGCCATTTGGGATATGGAGCCACCAGTCTGTCAACGTGAGTTAAAGATCTCTTCCCATTTAGCCACCACTTAATCCTAGCATTTTCCCCCTCCAATTACGAAGACTCAGTCTCATCCCTCTTGGCAATGATGTCCTTCCAATATTTGAACAAAAAGAGTCAGATCCTGAAAAGTGCTCACAATTCTCTAAGCTTATAATTCCTTCTGGTGTTTCCTTTTCTTGGGGTGTAATTTATGTAGAGCAACCCCAACTTCTTCTTTTGTTGGTTGAACACTTCCCAGTTGGAAGATTATTCTCTTCAGCAAAGTAAACACATGCAAAGTTAGTAAAAGTCGCGCAGCTTCCTCTCTGCCACTCTCCACATCAGGCCCTGTACTTCAGCAGCGGCCCTCTCCCTTCCTTCTGTTCTTTGTCTGAACAGGGACATGCTGTCTGTGGTGAGTCCTGTGCAACAGGAGCTTCCCACACCCTGGGCAGGGAGAGGAGTCCTCAATCACAGATTCACAAAGAGCATAAAGAGGGTGCACCCCTGGCTTTGGTGATAATGTGGAGAAATCAATAGTCTCACACCCAGCTACTGGTAGCCTAAGTGGGAGCAAACTTTCTGAAAGGCCAGGATACGATAGATGTCAAAACCCTTTACTGTACACATGCCTTGAACTGAGAAACCTGCCATCTTATGGTTTATTCTTAAAGAACAGTTACTGTGTCCCTTGCAAGGATATTGCTATACAAATATTTACCTACAGTTTTGTTTGCCACAGTGAAAAAGCCAAAAGAATGCAAATGTTGAGCGTATTTCAAACAATGTTTCCAAAAGAATGGTCTCCAAACAGGTGTGAGATGATCCTTTGGAAATTCGGAAGAAAATACAATTTCTGATGAGATTCAGTGTTATTTTGTGCTTTAAAAATGTCCGTTGATCTGTTTTTAAAGCACCTAATGCCTTAGTGTTTTGCATGTGCATATTGCTTACAACTCAATAAATACACACATATTGGAAAAAATTAAAGAAACAAGGCATGTGTTCCGTAAAGAAAATGAAGCGTTTAAGATATGCCAGAATGCATTAGCCAGGAGGGACAGCTCTTCCAAATGGAATCGAATAGCACATTCTTACACTGAAATATTATTAAGCCAACAAAGATATTTTAGAAAAAATATGGTGTGTGTCTATTAAAAATTACACGTTAAACAACTAACAGTGTTGCTTTCTAGATAATGGACTGAAAGGTATTTTTCATTTCTGTTCCACAAATTTTCTGCCAGAAATATGCATCTTCTTCAATATTTTCTTAAAAGTAAAAATAAATAAATAAATATGTTCCTACTTTAAGGTCTACCCACCAAAAATGACAGAAATACTTTGTATGCTCTAGAATGCTTTAAAATGCCTAGGAGTTATCTGATATTTAGATATTAGATTCAATTTGTCTATAAAATTATCTGTGCTTTCTATCTTTGTAGGAGTAGCATTTTTGACACATTTTTTGCACTTCTATATTCTACTTTTTCCTGAGTCAATAATGGCAAAGTATATCTGCATTTTCCAAATTATTAGCATAGACTAGCACATATATTCAGTTATTTTTATTGCTTTTGAATCTGTGATGATCATGTGTGTGATACTGTATATTTAGGTTTTATCTCTTTTTTATTAGTGATGCCATAGCTTCTTTGCTTTGATTTTTTTTGATAAAGATACTATATGTGCACGACATCATATGAGTAACCAGTAGATTAAAGCCAAATTCCTTTTATAACGAGAGAGCTGAACTAAGAACAGTGAAGTAACGTAAAACTCGTCACTTGCAAGGAGAAGCCCGTGGACTATGTAATACATGGTCATGTGCTGAAGCGATGTTCACTGAGAAGGGCGGGAGCCATCACATTGTCCTTCCCACATCTCCAGTCGTGCACAAAGTCTGGACATTAGAAAACATTAGGCACGAGCAGAAGTGCTGTGAATGTTCACTTTTGGTAACTGGGGTTTTTTAACAAAGCTGTTCACCAAAGTTTATGATGAAGTGTCACGTTAACAACTCGAGGCTTTGTTTAACTTGCTGTCCCTTTGCCAGGCATTCACTGTAAGCCACCGCCAACCATCGCCAACGGATATTTCTCTGACAGAGGCAGAGATTACTTTGAATATGGGGCGGCGGTGACCTATCGCTGCAACTCTGACAATAGAAGGGAAAGGTTTGTCCTCGTGGGAGAGCCATCAATCTACTGCACCAGCCAAGGTCAAGTGGGCACCTGGAGCGGCCCTGCCCCCCAGTGCATCATACCTAACAAATGCACGCCTCCAGAGGTGGAAAACGGAATCAGGGTGTCTGGGAACAAAAGCTTGTTCTCCTTAAACGAAGTCGTGATGTTCAGGTGTGAGCCTGGCTTTGTCATGAAAGGACCCTACAGTGTGCACTGCGGGGCCCAGAACAGATGGGAGCCCGAGCTGCCCAGCTGCTCCCGGGGTGAGTCTCACCGAGGCTCCGAGGGGCCTGCAGATGACGGGGGCTGCAGGAGCCCCGGGACACCAGTGCTTGTTCTGGGACAAGGCGTGTGGTGGGCGCTGTGAGTAATTCTTTGAGAGAAGCCTGAAATAAAGAAGGGGTACATGTGTGTGCACCTCAGTACGTGTGTCCTCATCTTGAGAAACAAGAGCTGAATTCATCAGGGAAGGAGACGTTCGGGACGCTGCCATCGAGCAAGTCTCAGGGCAAAGTCCCAGCTCAGTTAGGCTGAGGTAGTAAACACTCGATACGCAGGATCCACTTGACTCTTTCAAGCCTCCTTTGAAATAGTGCTATTCCTATGCCCACATGACAGTGAGGTTAGCTTGGCCTTTCAGAGGTTAAATGAATCATCCAGATCACGGGCCACTAAGTGGCATGCCCAGGAGTAGGTGTGTCACACCCTAGGGCCTGAATGCTGTGGTTCTTTCCATACTTCTATCAGCATCTATCACAGAAAGAAAGGATCTGCTTAGGAAGACCGATGTCCTAGCATCACAAAAGTCACGAGGACCTTAGAGTTTGTCTCTTCTGTTCTCCCTCGTATATTTTGTCATTAGGAATTTGAGGTTGAAAGTGAAAGTCACTTGCTAAAAGACAAACAGATTTTTCAGGCTCTTTAATTAGATATACATACAGTTTGACATTCAAGTGAGGTCTGATGCCCTGAGCACGTACCGAAAGGGCTGAGAATGGAGGCGGGCAGGTCTTGACTCCAATACTCTCTAAGCAACATGCCCGCTTATTGCAGGGACTGGCAGGTTGAGGGCATGTTGTTCTCAAAGGCTTGTCTTGCCGTCTTCTGTGGTGATAGATGGCTTGGAGGTGGGTTGGTATATATTGTGGCTGATCCATATGGACACGGAGGGAGCCTTCAGTTTATTCACTGTCTCATATCAGCCTGTGCAATCACTGAGAGAGCAGCTGGGAGGCAAAGAGACAGATACAAATATGAATTATTACTACACTTGGATCGTAAGATCACTAAAACAGAGATGAAGGGAAACCTGTTAAACAGGCAATCTTCTCATTATCTGGAAGAGGAGGCTGGAGATTGGGTTGCCTGTGTAGCAAGTACGTGCCTGGGAAGCCCACCGATACAAGCAGCTTTCCACTAAATGGCCAGCCCCATGAGAAGGGGTCCGTGCCTGCCAGAATTATGAATATATTGTAAACTTCGTGTGGGGGAGAAGGGACTTTAATTCTCTACCTCTTACTTGCTGAGAGGCCTGTGGCTACATCTCTTCCCTAGTCTTAACTTCCACATCAGTGTAATGAGGAGGTTGGGGTATCGTTTGCCTTCCTTTGTTAGGCCTGAACCCCTCTAATTATGAGTTTCTAACTGTTTGGATGGGTTAAGATTTAGCAAAAAGTATTTCTCCATAACTGAGAGGAACTTGGCACCTGTTCTTTCCCCAGTTTGTCAGCCGCCTCCAGAAATCCTGCATGGAAAGCACAACCTCAGCAACAGGGGCGCCTTCTCCCCTGGGCAGGACGCGACGTACAGCTGTGAGCCCGGCTACGACCTCCGAGGGGCTGCCTCTCTGCGCTGTGCGCCCCAGGGACACTGGAGCCCAGCAGCCCCCACATGTGCAGGTGCCTACACTCTCTCCGTCTGCTTTGAAAGCTTTAGCTGGGGGTTCCTTCCCCAGGTGCCATTGTTACCTCTGTTTGTTTCTCTTTCTCTCCAGTGAAATCATGTGCTGCCTTCCTGGACCAGCTTCCTAATGGCCGTGTGCTCCCCCCATTTAATCTCGAGCTGGGGGCAAAAGTGACCTTCGTTTGTGATGAGGGGTGAGTATGACATGGAACTGGGACCAAAGACTTGGTGCTGGATGCTGATATGCTGATACCCTGGGCAATGGGGATCTATCCAAGAAGGGGGCTGCCTAATGGGGGAAAGGTACTAAAGGAGTCTAACGTCTGAAACAAAGATTGAGATGTATGGTGAGAACCATATGGAACCGTGAACAGATATATAAAAAGGAAAATTGGTAAATAAACTGAACAGCAGAACTATAACAACTGCTCTTAACTATTTAGGTGGGTCTTTAAGTATATGGATAAATAGTAGTTTGTAAGCATGGAGAGAGAAAAATTCTAGAAGGGTTGTTAAAAAAAGTTTGATATATTAAAAAGTGTTATTTATAAGATAAGTAACATGCAAGGATTGTTTCAGGAAATTTTTTAACCAATAAGTGGAACTTGGAATAGAAATAAAAGACTAAGTAGAAATATTTTTAATCTAATTATGTCATCATTAGATTAGTATTAGGTTGGTTGAATGAGCATGAAGATGCATGGTCATGTTTCAAGAAACATCATTAACTTTTTGTGTGAATCTAAATGATCTTGGTATTGTGTTCCAATGCCGTTGACAGGTAAAAAGCAGGTACCACAGAGCAGTTGCCCTTAATGTGTTCTGCCCAATCGATAGTCACTAGTACCAATTAAATACCAATGGGACTCACCAATTTAGGGTGCACTGAAGGAGGAGACTTTATTCAGTACAAGCAGCTCAACTGTGATACAGCACAGCTTCGGAAGAGCCCAGCTGTGGAATAGCTCACTTATGATACAACCTGGCTGCAGAACAATATGGCTGTGACACAGCTCAACAACGTTGCAGCTCAGACAGGACGCAGCACAGCCGTGGAAGAGCCCTGGCGCAAGGAGGCCCTCGGCCCCTCCCCAGACAGTCTGGCAGGACAGCTGTGGTGCTACAGCTCCAGTGAGGGAAACAGCCTTTCGCGGAAGGGCAAGTGTGCTTCCTGACCCGGGGGAGCTGACTATATAGACAGAGGTCCCTGCCCCTGGTCCCTGATCGGTCCGTTATCATGTTAATTAGGGCTCCAAATTTTCAGTTTGATTGGTCAAAGAAGCATTGTCCTGCCGGGGGGGGGGCTCAGCAGTTGAACATCAACCTAGGATCCAGGACATGGAGGTTCGATTCTCAGTCAGGGCACATGCCCGGGTTGCTGGCTCGATCCTCAGTCAAAGGGGTGCAGGAGGCAGCCGATCAATGACAACTCTCTCATCATTGATGTTTCTCTCTCTCTCCCTCTCCCTTCCTCTCTGTGACATCAATAAAGATATATTTTCTTAAAAAAGCATTATCCTGATTGGACAGAACAGAGCTGCTCTAATTGGTAGGTGGGGATGCTAATGTATATATACACTTTGAATAATTATAAAGGCAGTGTTTATTAAAATACATTTTATTTTCAAAATTGAGCTATCAGCTGATAAAGTGTGTATATATATCTTTTCTGAGATGCACTGTAGTTGTGCAGCTCTAAATGAATAGGGAAAGTCACAGTCCTATAAGTTGAAATATGATTCCAGCAACTCCTTTTATAAGGATTGGCCCTTATGGCAAGAACACAGTGCAGGCGACAATTCAGCGTCACCCTGAAGCATTGCTTGCATGAGAGGCCCCTGTTTAGCAGTGGCTGCTAGGCTCTGTTTATAAATTTAAGCCTAATTAGCCATTAAGAGTCTTCTTCAATAGGTACATTCATTATTGGGGGTCAACAATTTCAAGGACTCCTTGACAGTCATTAAATAACAGTCATTCAATTAAGATCTGGAGAAAATTCAGGAGACCAATGGTCTGACGATAGACCAGATGTTTTAGGATAATTGTGCTCTAAAGAATCCTGTCTTCTCACCTTTTCTTCTTTTTTTCTAGTTAATTTGGCTCTACTCTTCAATAATCCAGATATGCCATAAGTCTCATTCAGGAGTGTTCCAAATGTATTGGCAAAAAGTACAGTCTCTGATATCTTTCCTCACGTTCTATGATTTGCCAACCTAAGTCAGGAGCTGTTCTCCTCCTGGTCCACTAAGAGAAGAAAATGCTGTATTTTGCATTAGAGGCAAAAGTTCCTCCTAATGACAAAAAGGAGGCATCAGAGAGCAGTCAGGGAAAGATGACCTCATGAAGGTCTGGAACAAGACCAAGAAAAAGTCTGCCTATGTTTTTTGTTTCTCCTTCAGTACAGGCCTGTCACTTACTGAACTTCGTCCCTCATGGAAGCTGCAATTTTTAAAAATGTTTTGGTTTCTGAGCCTCTATCCTGAGAAACCAAATGAGCTGAGCTTTTCCACCTGGTATTTAACTGAGGAATTAAATACATTTTAGCAGAAAGGGAGAAGCTGAGATCTAACAATGAAGGGAAGAGAGAAATGGTATTCTCACCCAGTCACTACTGCTTTTGTTCCTTAGGTTTCATTTAAAGGGAAGTTCTTCTAGTTACTGTGTCCTGATTGGAATGGAAAGCCTTTGGAATAACAGTGCTCCTGTGTGTCAACGTAAGTAGAAGGAATATCTGTTCAGCTCTGAATCTTTCTCCTTTTTTTTTTTTTTTTCATTTTCTTACTGTGTTTTTGCCCCCATGAAATTATCGTGACTGTTCCTCTGTTTATTTTCATTTTTGATAGAAATATTTCTTTGTGGATTAGTTAAAAAGAATGCTTTTGGGGGAAAATAAACCTGAGCATCGTGTGTTGGGTACCATACAAAAAAGATTTAATAGCACACCAGGTGCTATAAGAGGGGAGAAATGCTTTATAGATGGAGAGAAATTTGTACTTTTTTCCTGTCAAAAGTGATAGTCACATTTCAGATTTTCTATCCTTTTATAAACCACTCATTCATTCATATACTTATTTTTTAGCACCTACTATGTGCCAAACAGTCTTCTAGACACCAGGACTATGTCTGTAAACAAGATAGACTAGGCCCCTGCTCCCATGTTGTTTATATTCTTGGACAGGAAGAAAGATTTAACAAACAACAAGTAGACAAGGAAACACATTGATAAATAATTTCAAATAATACTAAGTGTTACTTAGGTAATGCAATAGAATAAATATATGAATGGGAATGAGGAATGCCAGAAAAAAGAATAAAGTTTCCATTTTAAATAAGGTGATTAAGGGAGTCCTCACTGAGAAAGTAACATTCAAGCATTGGCAGCAGTTAGTTGACTCCAATGTGAATTACATACAAGAAGAACCTTCCATTCAGATGGAGCAGAAAGTACTAGGAAAGGCCCAAGGCAGAAATATTCTTGGCATTTCCTTTGAAAAGCCTGTTCTAACATTTTCTTGGAAGCTTACATAGCTGGTGTAGAGTAAGCACATACAGCAGTAGTAGGAGGTGATAAAAGAAAAGTAACTCTACATTGTGTAAGAACTTAGGCTTTTCACTCCAAGTAAGATGGAAAGCAACTGGGGTTTTGTGAGTAGGAAAGTAACAAGACCTAACTTATTTTTAATGATATCACTATAGAGAGAACTTAGCTGAAAAGGGTATATCTTAGATGGAGATTCCCCAGAAAATAGTACTGTTATTGGTGAGGTGTCCTCTGCATCCCCACCTGTTGCTGGTGGAAGTGGGATTCTTGGGGTATCACAGGAACAAGAATTTCCTGAGGCCCCCACGGGGAGATAAGGTATCATGCAGAGCTTTATTTCTGTGAAATCAAACCCCTGAGTTTCCAAGGTTCCCATCTCCCTCCATCCCACCATGGAAAAAGTCTCATTTGTCTTTAGCAGAGCTAGGATTAAAGCCAATGTCCAAAGTTCCCGTCCCATGTTGAAGCACAGTTCAGTCCAGCATCTGGCTAGCTTAGCTTGTGTTCCCAGCTGCATTCCCTTGTGTGTAGGGTCCGCATGGCCATGGGTCATGTGGCTTCCAGGGCCACATGGCTGTGGAGGCAAGCACAGGTCATGGAGCAAGCAGGAAATAGGAGCACAAGCAGGACAAGAAAGAGATAATTCTTCGTTTGGCGGATTTTTAAGTAGGAGCTTACCCAATGAATCCTTCAGGATTTTGCATGCTTGCAGTGGCTCCACCCCCTCTAGCCAATTATCTTTTCCCCAGGTTAGACTAAAAAGCAGCACCTTCCCTACGTCACCCTGACTTCACTGCACATGCATCTGTTTCTCCCTTTGCTGGACCCCGTCCCCACCGTGATCTGCAGGGAATGGACTGGTGGTTCCCTGGGGATGTAAAGTTGCAGCTTCCTGGTGAAGCTGCCCAGATGACCATGCTTATAACGCCTGGCCTTCCCTAGCTGGTTACAACAGTTACAATGCCAGAGGCAAAGTTTATGTTATAATCTTCCATTGGAGGGTACAATTCCAGAACATCAAGAGGGAAGGATAACAGAAGGGAAGCAAGGATAGAAAAAACTGCAAATAAATAAAAGATACTATGCTACCAAGGTGGCCAGAAGCTTCACAAGAAAAAACAGCTGGATGGTTGCTCATATAGAACATCTCTATGGAACCAGTTTATCTGTTGGATCTTTCCTGTCTCCTTGTGCAAGAGCCCAACTTTAACCCTTGGGGAGGCTGAGACAGCCAGTATTGTCTGGAAATGAGGTAACGTGGTATCAGCCAGCACTCTCGATTGAAAAAGTAGCTGAGTGGCCAAAAGTCAGGGATTGCCAAGAAAATCTGAGAGTACAAAAGGGGAAGCTACTGCAAAAATCTAATCAGAAATGTTGGCCCAGGATAACAGTGGGAGAGGTGATAGGAAATGGTCAAATTCTGGACGCATTTGGAAGGTAGAAATAACAGGATTTGCTGATGGTTTACACAGAGAGATTAAAATGAGACTAAACGGGGTCACCTAGTGGGAGAATGTGCGCAGAGAATAGACGCATGGGCTAAGCCTCGTGAATCCAACAATGAGAACTCAGAAACCTGGGAAGGAAACAGCAGAAGAGATGAAGAGGCAGCCGGTGTGTTAAGAGAAGAGCCAAGAGGATGAGGGTATCTTGGAAGCCAAGTGAAGAAATTATTTTAAGGAGATGAGACCAAGCAACTATTTCAAGTTCTCCAGAGAGGTCAAATAAGATGAAGGCAGAACATTATCACTGGGTTTGGAGTGACTTGGAGATAATGGGTGGCCTTGACAGAGCAGCTTTAGAAGAGTTGTAGGGCCATATGCTCGATTGGAATGAGTTCAAGGGAGAATGAAGGGAGGACTGGACATGGGCAGCATTTTAAAGGAGCTCTAATGTAAAGGGAGTAGAGGAATGAAACTACAGCTGCAGAGGGAACTGGCATTGAGAAAGTTATTTTTTGTTTGCTTTTAAGATGACAGAAATATAGTGTGTTAAACACAGAAACATTACCAATATGTCCATTTATTTCTTCACTAAATCAAACAGAATATTGTTTCATCTTATGATCACAACTATGGAAAAATACATGTTTATAATAGAATTTTTCACATGACTACACTGCTTTAAAATTATTTGGACTTCTTGTACTGATTTATATAATGAAGCTTGATCATTAGATCTTTCATATTTGGAAATCACCTATTGGAAAACCTTAGCTTTCCTAAAGTACAGTAAAGAAGCATGAAAAGAGAAAGAAAAATACTCTCATCAACCCAAAGATATACCTAAAACCACTTACTAGAGTGTAAACGTTGGTCAAGCTTTTCCCCCCAGGGATTAGTTTATCCATGATTCTATCAAGCTACAGTATCCCCTTCCCAAATACAGATCAATCAGAAGGGGAAGGGAGCGTCTCCAAATAGTTACACTCATAAGAAGAAACATGCACTTCTTCAATGAGAAATAAAATCTGTGAAAAACAGTAAGTATCTCAAAACTCATAATATTTCTGAGCTGTTTGGAGCATGCACAGGGGTATGGAGGATGTTTCATTTCATTGTGACATGACTGTGACCATTTATTTTGTTTTTGAGAATAGCAGCCTCAAGTCATCAAGAAAAGACTAAATCACTGATAGAGACATAGTAAATATACAAGAGATTTTGAAAGATTTCTCTAGGATGACGATCCTTGATGTTAAAAGAGCTTGTCTATCTTGTGCTTAAAATAGTACTTGACATATAGTAGGTGCCCAAAAACTTGCTTGTTGAATTACTGGATGATTTTCCTTATTAAATTGATGATTTTCTCGTTAATGTGGTTAAAAAGATTTCTGTTCATTTTAAATAAGTAAACAATTACCCAGCAGTCCTAACTCTCTGAAGAGTTCAGGATGCTAAAATCCCTTTTGGACTTTTCAAATAAACATTGATTTAGGTGTCATTTTATTTAGCTGCATCTCCGCAGAAGACTAATATATTTATTTTGCAGTCTGTACTCTCCTTAAGAGTTTAATTGTTCTTGAACTGGCAATGCAGTCATAGCATACCAAAACTAGAATCAAGTCAGATGAAAATGTAAACATTTTAATGTAATTTATGGCTCTTGTCTTTTTTCTAGAAATCTTTTGTACAAATCCTCCCACTATTCTTAATGGAAAGCACACAGGAACTTCTATGGGAGACATTCCCTATGGGAAAGAAATATCTTACACATGCGACTCCCACCCAGGCAGAGGGGTGACCTTCAGTCTCATTGGGGAGAGCACCATCCGCTGCACAAATGACAGTCAAGGGAATGGGATCTGGAGCGGCCCTGCCCCGCGCTGTGAACTTTCTGTTCCTGTTGGTCAGTACCCACCTCCACTCACCTAAATGGCTTCAGAATATATGTACCAGATCTTTTCTACTTCTATAATAAGATTACAGTGTTTACTTGTGAGTTTAACTCTGCCCTAAGTGGAAGTGTCATAGCTAGAACATGCCATAGCTAGAACAGATGGTCCCAGAAGTGCCAAGCTGTGTCTGAGTATGGAAGATGCTAATTAATTAATAACTCATCTTGCTGGTGGAGTGGTAAGGAGAGTAGGATAAGAAGAGTAAGGGGAATATATTCATTGGAGAGTATAGGAAAATAATTGCCCATGCACACTAACCACTACCAAGATAACTGATAAACACTCTCCACAAGTTCATGGGCATGCAAATGATAAAACTGGCAATATGGATAATATTTAGCTAGTCTTATGCTGAATAAGTAACAAAAAGGACTCACTATACATTTGTATCTGAAGACCTCAACTCAAAGTAAACCCATTTGTCACCTTGTCTCTGGGCCCCATCTTAATCTTTGTGGGAGTGAGAGGAAGCAGAGAAAGATCTAAGGACTGGAGAAGATTGCCTGGTACTTGAGGCCTCACCTAAGGCCTTCCTGGGAGTGAAACCTTTAGCAGGCTCGGTGTGGCGTCAGCCCTGGAATACCGCTTTCCCTGCAGGGGAGTCCTGAGGGGAGAGCAATCCAATGAAAAAAGGCTACACGTGATGAAAAGCATTTAACCTTCCTTTGATCTCCCTCACCCTCCAACTGGGTGGTATTTATCAGAATCTAGTGCTATTTCTTTAAATGCAAATGCTTGGACCCCAGCCAGGCTCATTGAATTGGCAAAGAGAAGCAGTCTCCTCCAGAGAACAGATAGTTGAGTTCAGACTCTGTTTCAAAATGTGCGGCACACAATCTACCCTCTCCTAAAGAAGACATAGCTTCTGAGAAAATGCCGCTTAATGGCTTAATCTGTTTTGTCTTTGTCCTTAAATGTCTGGTTTAGTTTCCTAGGGCTGCCATAACAAATTACCGCAAACTAAGTGGTTTAAAATAATAATAATTTATTTCTCACAGATCTGGGAGTTAGAAGTCTGAAATTAAGGAATGGGCCGGGCCCCAATGCCTCCTATGGCTCTAGAGGAGAATCCTTCTTTGCCTCTTCCAGCTTCTAGTGGCTCCTGGCTTGTGGACTCTAGACTCTCATCTCTGCCTCTGTCTCTACATGGCCTATTCTCCAGTGTCTCTGTGTCTCAAATCCCCCTTTCTTTTCTTTCATAAGTACACCACCAGCCATTGAATTTAGGCCCACCCTACTAACATAGGATAATCTCATCTCAAGATCATTACCATAATTATATCTGAAAAGACCCCTATTCCAAATAAGTTCCTGTTCTGAGATTCTGGATAGATGTATCTCTTGGGGGAACATCATTCAACTCATTACACGTGTTGACTGCTCTTTAGTGCCAGGAGGGGCAGCTTGCAATGAGCATCCTGAGAAAGAGGCAGGGGGAACAAATGGAAAGAGATGGTAAAATACATCTTGATATACATGGGTACAATAACACTAATAAGTGAGGATGTGAATGGTTAACTCTAGGTTTCAGTACTGGGAAATGTAAGCACTGAAATACACGGCACTCTGAGAGGAGGTCTGACATGTGAAACTATTAGCTAAATTTCTTGCTTTGGTGAAATAAAAGTCCAGAAAGGTGAATAGTCTTTATGTGGCAAAAAAAATTTTAGTCAATAGATGTCATTGGAAAGCAACATCCTAAGGTAACTTCAAGAAGGAAATCTTCTATTATAAGTCTTCTTCCGTTATTATAAGTGTCTGTTCCTTGACCCCGTATATCAGCTTAATTGAAGAGAAAGAAGGGTAGAGTGGAAGGCTCATTGCTCACTTTGCTATTCCTGTCACTTGGGTCTCCAGGTTACTGTAAAGCTCCAGAACCATTTCCATTTGCCACGCCTACGGCCCTAACTGATGAGTCTGAGTTTCCAGTTGGGACGTCTTTGAACTATAAATGCTCCCCTGGGTATTTTGAGAATACGTTCTCTATCACCTGCTTAGAAAATTTGGTCTGGTCCAGTGCTGAAGATTTCTGTAGACGTGAGTAACCCCATCCTAGGAACTAAGTTATGTATGTCAAAGCATCAATGGGATCTAATTTGATTTGTGTGGATTTTGAAGGTGAGATATCTAAGTTTGCCCAAGATATTTAAATGAAGGGTAGGTCTGTAGGTCATCCCTTGTTACTGTCTGGGTGTCTGCACCTTGACCAGATATTCATTTCATGGGACTCACACAAAAGGAATTGGAGGAAATTTTTCCATTCCCTGGAGGTTACCTTTGATGGCTAAAACCATGAAATGAATGAAAGAGGGACACCCAAGAAAATTATGTGGGCTGCAGTGAATTGTCCTTAGCTAACTAATATGGAGGGAAATTCCAAATTATGAAGCCTTTGATTTAGACTAGTAGGGTGAGAAAACCATTCTTTAGCCATGAATTACTTTTATTGGGGAATGCAAGGTAGTCCTTTAAAAGCAATGCCCTGTAGCTGCTCAAGTCTAAGATTGTATGGTGAGTTTCCTCAAAGTGGCAATTCCGTGGAAAAATCACAAATATATAGGCTGTTTAGAATGCTATACTCCAGTCTGAATCCTAAAAACATATGCAAATTGAACTCTGTACCTAGTCCCAAATTCTGCTTCTTTCTCATAGGAAAATCATGTGGAACTCCACCAGAACCCGTCCATGGCATGGTGCATTTAAACGCAGATACCCACTTTGGATCAACAGTTACTTATTCTTGCAATGAAGGGTGAGTTAGGAGCACTCTCTTTGGAATATGAGTTGCAGAACAGCAATGTGGATGTCTGTCTCAGCCTTAGATGGGCAAACTAGACTACTGCCCCCTGTACTTCCAGAAGCAAGCAGTGGGACTTAAACGCAGGCATATGATCAAAAGAATCTAAGAGAGGAGGCGAAATCTGGGTCTGTATTATAAACCAGGGAAGGCACCACGCTCCTGCTGAAGGTAGTGCATGTGCGATCTGGTGAGATATCCCCTGGCTACAAAGGACCAGCCTGCCAAATCAGTAAAATGAAAACTGCTCATTGAACCATGCAAACATCCTAAACTGAGATCAACGAGTATTGTAGCTGAGTTGGAGGACCCTAAAGAAGGGGTTGGGAGGGTAAATCTTATGTAATAGCAGTTCTGGGAAATGTAAGCACTGAAATACACACAGAGAGGGGACACTAATGGCATTTTTGCTCTTGAATTTTCCTTGGGACAGTAACTGAGCGAGGAGTCATTGCCCCCACTTAGGGCAATTAAAGAGGGTATACTAATTTTTAGTTGCCACAATAAATTTAGAGAAACAAGGTATCTATGTATATCACATCTTCCTGCATAAACTGCCCTTGGTGATTGGCTCCATCCTATCCTAGCCACCTAGGATCTATGTGTTGCGCCTATGATCCAGCAATTTTAAACTCGGATAAATCAATATTCATCTGAGCCTGGAGATGTTAACACCTTTCCATACAATCCCTTCTCCAATCCCTTCTCACCTCCCATGTGAATAAGCCTAGAGCTCTTTCTTCTATGAGCAAAACAAAATATCACGACATGCAAGGGAAGGAAGATAGGGTGATTGAAAACAAAAGAGACCAATCTGAGACATCAGAGAAAATATTCCTCTGCAAATCCATGTACTTCAATAAATAAGGGAATGAACTCCAAAACAGGATATTAGAAACCTCTCACATCTGTTTGTAACATAGAACCTATGAAACAGTAAGAGGCATTTATAAGATTTAGTGATCTGATATCAGTAAAGTTTATATACGAATAAACACACGACAGTCTAAAAGAGCAACAATAATCAGAAGATTGAATTCTAAGGGGAAAAAAAGAAAGAAAAAGAAACCAAACAGATAACTGATCATGAGAAAACTGGATTAAATTCTCCAGAGTAAACAAAGGACAAGGCAGGGAATTACACACTCGCACACACACACACATACATATTGAGACATGAGAAAAAAATTAAAAAGCAAAAACTGGTGAAGTATCAGTTACCCCAGAGTGGAAGATACTTTCCTAGGTCAGAAATAAAAAAACTAGATTGATAGAATCCTAAGGCTTACTGAACAAATGCAAGATTAATGATAAGAGGTCCTCACTACCCCCCCCATGGAGAAAATGTATAAAATTCAGATATTAAACAATTTGCAACTCTCCAGAGATAAAATAAACAGAAAAAATCAGATTGCCATCAAATCTTTCTTCCACACACTAAGTAGTGGAAATTAGTGTTTTGAGGTGAAACATTGTGCCATAAAATATCTGTACTCAGCAAAGTCACAGAAGTACAGTCGTACATGACCAAGAACCCAAAATATATACCAATCAGATATATTTCCCGAAAAAACAATAATTCCCACACTATATGTGTTTTTATTTCTTCTACGTGAGTACAATACAGCAACACTAGAAATTCATAAGCAAAGAATAAATTAAAATTCAAAGTTTTGGATCTTGATCAAAGAGAAAATTAAAACAGCAGAAGGAACACATGTAGTGCAGGTATTATTGTCTTCTTTCCTTACTACTATGTTTTTGCTTCTGATATTTTTTCCATTGCTTTTCTGAGAGGGTGAAGGGGTGGGGGGAGAGAGAGAGAGAGGGAGAGAGAAACATCAATGTGAGAGAGACATATCAAGGTATGTGCCCTTGAACCGAAGACCCTTCAGTCCACTGGCCGACGCTATAACCCCTGAGCCAAATCAGCTAGGGCTCTTTCCTGAGGCTCTCAAATTGTTTGCAGAAATTTTGAAGATTTAATACTTGTTGGCACACTTGAAAAGATTTTACAACATAGCCAATAAAAAAATAAGTTACTAATAAGTAAAATTCAATCACTACCTAAATATAAAAGTGGCTCAGCCTACAAAAGTATTCACTGTCCTTGTTATACCCACATGGTTCCCGTCATCTTTATGTCACCGGGATGAGATGATTTGTCAGGTAAGATTTGATTAAGCTCTAAAAGACAGGGAAACACAACAACAGGAGCTGAAACAAGGTAGTGGTTATTTCTCTTTCAGGTTAAGAACCGCGAGCAGTGTAGGCCTCACATGGTGACTTCACAAGCCACAGAATCCTGGGTTTGTTCCCATTTGAGACTCCATCTCATCTCCTGGTCCAAACTCCCTCCAGGAAAGGGAGAATGTAAGACCCATCCCTTTAGAGACGCTTGTCAGACACTCCACGTCCATCCCTCTAGCAAGAGAGTAGTCAGATGGCTCCACCGGCTGTAGGGGAAGCCGAGAGATGAAGCCGTTATTGAAGCTGGGCATTGGCCAGTGAAAAACACAGGATTCTGTTACTAAGAGGAGAGGAAAGTGGATACTGTTGGGAGATACCAATAGTTTCTGCTCCCAATGCTTAACTACTGTGTCTTAAGTAATCAAGAGGCAAAGTTCTTAGCTGGTCCGGTAACTCCCTCACTGTTTCATGACATTGCATTAGACACCTCACCTGAGCCCTGCTGTACTTTGGAACACTTGGCCAGCTTGTGAGTATCCTCTGTGACATTTCTTGCAGTAACAGTATAGGGCATAATAAATAAAATATTCCAAAATGTGCGGCCTACTTTGAACGGTTTTATGGCAGTGGGTGACTGAATACCCCTGCCTTTCACGACTGAAGGGTGAAGATGATGAACTGTTTCCTCTGAATCTTCAGGGTAAAGCCATCATTCATTCCTTCAATCAACAAATATTTTTTGAGCACCCCAAGCTTAAACGTCTTTTGGCCAGTGCTAGAGATTGCACATATTTCCATTAAGACATATTTTCTGCCTTTGAGGAGCTCACAATTGCCTTGACAGAAGTACACATAGATAAAAAACAACAACTCTGTCGGTTTCTCTAAAGATAAGTACAAAAATGTCCCATTATGAGTAACACAATTATTGCATTGAGTTGTGAGGGACTAGGAACGAAGATGGATTAAAGCAATAGGAATTTAAGCTTGTTCTTAGCAATAAAGGACGAATTTGCAGATGGAGATGGGGTTTCTTCCTTGTGCTCTCTCGTGTTTTAATTTGTCCTGCAATTTGTAAAATCCTCTTGGTATTATTTTTCACGGTGACTTAAATAGGAAGTATGTGTAGGGTATAATCATTTTTCATCTTGTTTCTAGGTATCGACTCATTGGCTCCCCATCGGCTGCTTGTCTCCTCTCAGGCACTACTGTCACTTGGAATAAGGAGCCACCTGTTTGTGAGAGTGAGTGGAAATATTTCCCCCCCGTAATTCCCCCCAGTTGATCCTGATTTGACCCTGTGGTCACAGAGAAGAAATCGAATCCTCTGGCACAGAGCAGTCTCTCAGATATTTGAAAACTGGAGCCATGTGCTACATGGTTCTCCTGTTTTGGTTTTAATTTTAGGAGGTAATTTATCTGACACTATGGGCTTGAAACAGGTAAAATTGCCCTACTCTCCTACTTCAAGAGTGAAAAGATCGTTCTCCTGTGAAAATTTAAAAGACAGAGAAAAGTCAACCTGTCTCTGCCATCTCTTAATAGCATATTACAATCCCAGGAAGGAGACAGATGACTCCCTTTCTGTTCTTACTCTGAAGAATGAAAGAAAAACGTATCCTTCTTAAGAATTTCCCCAAGGCCCTGGTCATCCTGCCCTTTCTCCCTCCTTCGAATTCTTCCACGCTCAGGCCCTGGTTGTAGTCGGTCCTGATTGGTTGGCTCCGTGAACCTCCAAAACTCTGAGGATCATGGAAGACTGTCTGATTACAAATTGGGAGAGTGTTAGGCTGCTAAGGAATCAGTATCACATGCAGAGTTGGTGGCAGTAAAAGTGGGCACAGACTTCTGGAAGGCTTGTGGAGAATAAATACAAAAGCCTTAATGCAAATACCCTTTGACCTAGCAATTCCATTTCCTAGAGTTTGTCCCAAGGAAATAATCGTGAAATTTTCCCATGATTTTGGTCTAAAGACATTTAATGCAATAATATTTATAATAGTGGCAAATGTTAAGAATCTAAATGTTCAGGGTGGTTTGAAAATAGTTAACAGAAGAAATAGGGCTCATTAAAGATGATTATAAATTTTTAAGAAAAGTATACCATGAGAAATTAGAGATTGAGATGCCTCATCCAGGTGGAAATAAGCACTATATCTATTTATCTACATTGAATATTATCCAGCTACCATATATGATACTCTAGAAAATATATCCATGGACACACATGAATGTGCACTCATACATATCTGAAATTATATACATTAAATTGTTAAGAATACTTATTTTGGGACCATTATTGTTTTCTTATTTTTGTTTGTCCATATTTTATAAAATTCCTACAATGAACATATTCATTATATTCACAGATTCACACACACACACACACACTAACACTAACTTTGGCTTTTAAAGATCCAAAGAAATGAATGAGAAGTTATACAAGGTGCCTCATTAACCTGCCCATAATTTTAAATTCTCGGAAAAATTTAAATTAGCAAGGCATTATCAGTTTACTATAAAAGTCTTTCTAGGCCTAACACCTTTTGTAGAAGGTTATCTCTAATGAAAAATGTATCCGATTCTAAGGTATTTTAACTGAGTCAATACTGGTTATATATGTGTATGTGAATGTGTGTGTAGTCACACCAATATTTTAAAAAAATCATTTCCCTAGCCAATTTTGCTTAGTGGTTAGAGCATCGGCCTGAGGACTGATAGGCCCCGGGCTCAGTTCTGGCCAAGGGCAAGTGCCTCGGCTGCAGGCTCTATCCCAGGCAGCTGTCGGGCATGTAGGGGAGGCAACCAATCCATGTGTCTCTCTCACATTGATGTTTATCTCTCTCTTTCTTTCTCTCTCTTACTCTTCCTTCCACTCTCTCTCTGAAAAACAATGGAAAAAATATCCTCAGGTGAGGATTAAAAATAAAAAATTATTATTACGTTGCCCAGCCAGCATGGCTCAATGGTTGAGCATCCTCCTATGATCCAGGAGATTCCTGATAAGTGCACACGCCCGAGTTCCAGGCTTGATCCCCAGCAGGGGGCGTGCAGGAAGCAGTCGATCAATGACTATCTCATTGATGTTTTTCTCTCTCTCTCTCCCTCTCCCTTCCTCTCTCTGAAATCAATAAAAACATATAAAAATATATATTATTTTGTAATAGAACATAGTAGCCTTTTATCATTTTATTATTCCTGGATCTGGTTATTTCATTTCTCATGCCTTATATTTTATATATTTGTCTTTTCTTTTTTGAAATAATTTTTTATTTAATTTATTGGAGTGACATTGGTTAATAAAATTATATAGGTTTCAAGTGTACAATTTTATAATATCTTTTTTGAAGTATTTTGACATATAACATTTTGTACATTTTAAGGGTACAGCTTGATACCTGTGTTAATTTGATGCCTTCCCATATTGTAATGTGATTGCCGCTGTAGCCATAATTATCACCTCTATCTTGTTGCCTAATTAGCCTTTCTTTTAAGCAATTGGAATAATGAACTTCTTAGTCTCTTAGCAAGTTTGACGATAATGCAACATTGTTGTCTCTTCACTGTCCTGTGCACTCTACCTCTAGAGATTACGTATTTACTACTCATTGTAAGTTTAGACACTTAAACATCTCTCCTGTCCCCTCATCCATCATTCCCTGCTAACTACCATTTTACTCTGTTTTTACATGTTTTGCTCTTTTAAATTTCACAGATAAGTGATATCATACAGTACTTATCTTTCTCTGTCTGACTTATGTCACTTAACACAATGTGCTCAAAGTCCATGTATGTTGTGACAAATGACAAGTCCCCCTTTCCCACAGCTGAATAATGCTTCAGTGTATATACGTCCCATATTTTCTTTATGCATTTACCCATCAATGGACACGCTTCCAGATCTTGGCTATCGCAAATGATGCTGCAGTCGACATGGGGATGCGTATATCTTTTCAAGTTAGTGTTTTCATTTTCTGTGGACAAATACCCAGAAGTGGAATTGCTGGGTAATGTGGTGGTTATATTTTTAATACTTTAAGCAGCCTTCATACTGTATTCCACAGCAGTTGCGTTAATTAGCATCCCACCAGCAGGGCACAAGGACTTCCTTTTATCTACTGGTCTTTTTAATGACAGCCGTCCTAACAGGTGTGAGACATCTCTTTGTTTTCTGCTGTTGTTTTTTTAAAGATTTTTTTTATTGATTTTTGAGAGAGAGAAAGGGAGAGGGAGAGAGAGAGAGAATCATCAATGTGAAAGGGAAACACGGATCAGCTGCCTTCTGCACATCCCTCACCAGGGATCAAGCCAGCAACCCAGGTATGTGCCCTTGACGGGGAATCGAACCCAAAACCCTGCAGTGAGCAGGCCAATGCTCTAAGCACTGAGCCTCAATGGCCAGGGCTGTTTTCAGATAGTTTTTTGACAGCTCTCATGGGGTTTCCTCACCTTTTTTAAATCTTAGTTTTCTGCCCTCTTCTGAGTCATTTCTCAATTCCTATCTCCCAGGTCACTAGTTCTTTCTTTGCTCTGATCTGCCTAGTTTTCTAAGCTCTCTCATCTATTCTTAATCAGACTCACTGAATCTCATCTCCAGAATTTGTCTGGTTCTTGTTTAAAATTTCAGTCTCTCTTTGGTAAAGAACTCTTTCTGTTCATGAATTTTATTCCTCAGTTCATTGAATTGCCTTTCTGAGTTGTCTTGCACTCATTGAATCTGCACAATACCACAGTGATCAACACATGCCGTTATATATTTGACCCACAGAATATGGAACATCAGAAGTGATCTGAAAGTAAACTATGAACTTTGAGTGATTATGATGTGTCAATATAGGTTCATCAACTGTAACAAACATACCACTGTGGTGGGGGCTATTAGTAATGGGGGAGCTATGCATGTATAGGGGCTGAGAGCATGTGGAAAATCTCTATAACTTCCCCTTAATTTTTCTCGGAACCCAGAACTACACTAAAAAATAGTCTTAAAAATGAAAACTTGAGCTGTTGTTTACCATACTTTTCCTTATCCCAGGTATATCTTGCGAGCCACCCCCAACCATATTCAATGGAAACTTCTCCAGCAGCAGTGGAAATGTTTTTCAATATGCCACAGTGGTAACTTACCAGTGTTACACTGGGCCGTATGGAGAAAAGCTGTTTGACCTCGTGGGAGAGCAATCAATATATTGTACCAGCAAAGACCATCAGCTTGGGGTTTGGAGCAGCCCCCCTCCACAGTGTGTTTCTGCCAGTAGATGCACAACCCCAGAAATTGAAAACGGGATTAGAGTATCAGGAAATAGGACTTTATTTTCTTTAAATGAGATCGTGAGATTTCGATGTCGGCCTGGTTTTTTCATGAAAGGGTCCAACACTGTGCAATGCTGGCCCAACAATACATGGGTGCCTGAGCTGCCAAGCTGCTCCAGGGGTAAGTTTCATCCACTTAGGTCCTGCTGGGTGCTTGTAAATAATGGGAGTTCCTGAACTTAAGGAAAGGGTGTGTATGTGAGTGTGTTTGCATGTACAAGGAGTAGGAAATTGATATAAACACTCTAAACATAACACTAGCTCCACTATCTGTTATCTTTGATAATAATAATTGTCAAATAGTAGAGGGTGGAAGAGAATCAGTGAGGCCCAGAGTTTACAGAGAATATTTTAAAAACAATGAAAACCAATGCCAATGGAAATATTTAATTGTGCCATCTCTAGTACTAGTTGTTTTTATTCTAGAGGATGTGCAGAGCAAAATGTATGTGTTGATAGAGTAATTTACTTCAAAATGGGTAATGCTATAGAAATGATCAGGAAAGTCCCATGTAGGCACTTGTGTTCCTTTTGTTGTTCTAAGTGTCTGCTCAGCCCCTTGCTACATTTTGCTGACCCTTCATTTCACTTTTAGCAAAAGGAACTCAAGATGCCCCGGAGAAGTGACGTGGATGCTTGTGCTCTTGGCCTCTGTAGGTCCTTCCTTTTCCATGTATTTCTAGCTTTAAGTGACAGTAGCCGGCCATGAGAAGCTCCTTTGTGGCTGTGATTGTCCACACAAGCTCTGTCCTCCAGCAAGGACTGACAGCATTGACTTGGTAATTTGTAGATCCGGTGGTATTTCTATGTGGTGCAGCCTGCAGGTAAAGAATACATATGATCCTCTTTAAAGGCTGAGAGGCCTGGGTTTAGTGTGCCCACTGATCCACAAACATTCAGTGCCTCGAGGCCTGCCTGCCTGGGTCTTCATGCGGCTCTAATAGTCAGGGATATTACAGATGCGTTGGCGTGTTCATACTTCTGTGTTTAACTGAATGTCTTTCCTTGCTCTTAGCATGCCCACCTCCGCCCAAGATGCACCATGGGCATCACATTGGAAGACGTGTATCTCTGTATCTTCCTGGGATGATAGTCAGTTACACTTGTGACCCAGGCTACCTGTTAGTGGGAAAAGCCTTCATTTTCTGTACGCACGAGGGAACCTGGACCCAGTTTGATCAGTATTGCAAAGGTATCTCTTCTTTTGCTGGGTTTTTGTGGAAGATTGAGGCATGAGGCTAATAAGGCTGAGATCCTACCTGATAGGATGGTGAAATGAGTATCAGTAGAAGAAGAGGAAAGCAGAGCAGACAGCAGGAAGGAAGGCTGCCCAAATATCCTCAACTGTACCAAATAACCAGGAAGAACCGATGGAATTTCAGTGATATAATAGACATAAATCACTAATTCAAAATGCTTTACGGGCTTTTTCCTGATAAAATAGCTCAGCTTTAAAGGATCTCAGAGAATCACAGGTGGTCCTCACAAATGCCCTTGGGAGGTCAATAAGCGACTAGAAGCACTCTGCTGTGAGGACAGTAGAAGTGAGGTTGAGAGCAATTAGTTCCAGAATTACTGGAAGTGGAGTCTCACTATAATCTCCAAGACCAAAAGTAAGGTGTTTATTTCTTCTTCCTTGCAACAAGTCCCAGGAATTATTTTTGTTATTCCTGTCTATGTTTGCAGAGTGAAATATGACTTAAAATATTTGTTGGCATTATTCTAAAAAGCCGCAAAATGTGGAATTAAAAATCGTATCTATAACTAGGCATGTTACTGAGATCTTTACAGAAGTGATTTGTGTTCATCTCCAGAAGAATCTGGTGGGGTGGGGTTATCACTCCTGCTGTCTTACAGAGGAGGATATTGAGGTATAGAGAGATCCAGTAACTAGTCTATGATCCGAAGCTCAAGAGTGGTGGTGCTAGGATTGGACCCAGCTCAGTCCCTGCTTTCAAACTCTGCACTCTATACTGTCTCCTTTTATTTATTTATTTTATTTTTTAAACCTATTTTTTTTATTTAAAATATTACAAATGTCCTTTTATCTCCCCAATGACCCATCCCACCCTCCTCCCCAGTCCCCCTCCCCACCATTGTCCGTGTATACTCTCCCCTTTTAAATGTGGCTCTTTCGACTTTGACTTTTCAAAACTATAAGTTAAGTGATTTTTGCTTTGCTTGTTTCTCTTCTATTCTTTCATTTTTCAAATACTATGTAAGGGCAGGGATGAGGTATTTCTAACGTTAAGGATGAGTTAGTCTTATGGCTACTGTGGTGACAGGAATTTATGGCCCTCCCTGACCTAACGGCCTCAGAAACCCTCCTTGGCCTCTTACCCCTCAATTTTAGAGACAGAGAAGAAGTGGCCCACTTCAGTGATGACAAGTGACTCTTTTGGTTATTTGCCAGAATGGATGGTACTTATAGAGGCCCTGTGGCTCTGCAGAAACCAAAAGCTCATCCCTCCTTTTTTAAAAAAGATTTTTTAATTGATTTTTTAGACAGAGAGGGAGAGAGAGAGAATCATCAATGTGAGATCCAAACATCGATCTATCAACTGCGTCCTGCACACCCCCTACCGGGGATCGAGCCCACAACCCAGGCATGTGCCCTGACCAGAATCAAACTGGCAACCTTTCAGTGCACAGGATGAGGCCCAATCAACTGAGCCACACAGGCCAGGCCCCTCCTTGCTTTAGTTACATACAAAGCATGAAGATTCAGGGAATAGTCCATTGATTAATTATTCAGATTAGGACTCTGGGATAGTTGTCATGAAAATAAAAGAATTGTATCCTACTATCCTGGCAGCTGCTCTCTTCATTTAAGTAAAATTAATTTTACCTTAATAACCATTCTCTTTAAACATGACTTATTCATTCTAGATTTTTAGTATTAGCAAAATCAGCCAGGAACCTTGTTAAAAAGATAGTTTCCTAATTTACATCCCCAAGAACTTTGATTCTGATATTTTGAGTTGGGATCTAGAGGTCTATTTTTAACAAACCCACTAGAATAATCTAATGTAGAAAGACAACAGACCATACTGTGATAATTAGCACTTTACCTGGTTGGGTTTTATAAAGAAAAAAAGAAATTAGACTCTTACAACTGAAAAACAGGCTGCTTAAATTGAAGAAGGTGTTGCTGGGCGGAGAAGAAAGCCAAGTAAGGTTGAGCTAAATGAGTGAAAGCAAATTAAGCTGACACTTGATATTTTAAATTCAGAATCATGATTTACTAATGTCTTTGTTCTATGTGTAGAAATGAACCAGAAACAGGCATTTAATCAAGAGGCAAAAGCAGTATTTGCTGTGTTCCTAAAGAGAGTTCATATGACCTTCCTGCTTCCTTGTGGTCTGACCCAAGGGATCCAGGCTAGAGCATGGTGACCCTAACTCCTAATCTTTCCACAACTTCCCAATTGCAGAGTTGCTCACAATTAAAAGTGGATTACAGTACATTCCATATTCCTTTACTCTACCTAAGAAAATAAAGTCAGAGAATGTTAATTCATAAGATGTTTGGGAAGGGAATATTAATTTTTCTTGATTGAAAAAATGGCCAGTCTTTGCTGAAGGGAAAATAGGTTTGGGGTCATAGATCTTTCCATTATGGTAGATACAACTAACAGTTATCAATAAGATATCAATTTTCTTCTGATTTTTCTAATTTCAGAGGTAAAATGTAGCCTCCCACAATTCATGAATGGAATCCGAAAGGAGTTGGAAATGAGCAAAGAATTTCAATATAGAGATAATGTAACCTTGGAGTGTAAAGATGGATATACTCTGGAAGGCAGTCCCTGGAGCCAATGCCAGTTGAATAACACATGGCATCCACCTCTGGCCATATGTACATCTCGTAAGGGTAAGAGCAAGTACAAGGAATGTAGGTCCTTCCCAGTCATGGCACAGTTTATTCATTCATCTATGCTCTCATCGAATGTGATGTGATGTTATGGCACATGGTATGCTAAGGAGTGCAAAAGGAGCCCCTAATTCTTCTCCAAGGCCCTCAGCAATGGGAGGCAGACAAGCCTGTTCTCCTCCCACTTATCAACCCATCCAACTCTCCTTGGGGACCCCTCTGAAACTTTTTTGTCTAAATCACTCTATTGTTGCATTCATCCCACAGTAATGATTTGTTTATAGCCCGGGGCCCAATAGTCAAGTGCACATGCGTAAGAGAGCAGGCTTTCAAGAACTTCAGCTTGAGTCAGGAAGCACCTTCCAAGTCTCTGAGGCCAGCGGTTGGGTCTCCCTCACTGCTGTAGGCTACAGGGTTTTAAACTGGTACAACTGGATTCAGCAGATTTAGAAATCATGTGTCATGGAGCTCTGCTGGCAACTAGAGGGTAATATAAGATAGAGAACTCTAAACCCTGAACTTGTGTACATCAGGGAGCTGATGAGCAAAATTAACACTGAGTAACTCTTCTTAATCTAAGTTAGTGCTAGGCCTCCCCCATCCAGTCATATGATTCTTATTTATAGTAGTGAATACCAAAATTGTTCAAGATTTTTTTATGGTTAATCCCTCAAATGTGCTAGTTAATCTGACTTACAAATGATATTTCCAAATTATAAACTCATAACTCTCTTAATATTAAATTATATTCACTTTGGCAAAAAGTTCACTGCCTACCTGACTGAATGAATGCCTTTCGAGCATTCTGAAGATGTGGTTGTGAAAGACAGAAAACTCTCATGATAGGAGGACCACCCTACCAGAAGCTAAAACACAATGTAAAGCCACAATATATCAATCACTTTAAACCAGCACAAAATAGACTTATTTTTATAAGTGGAACAAAATAGATATTAATAAAATACAGGTTATTATAAATAAAAGTAAAAGTATTTTACAGATGAAATATAATAGTTGAGGCAGCATCAATCTACAGGGAAGGTAAAGATGATGAAATAATATATGTAGCCTCGAAACAAACTTAGAACCTTTCTTTTTGTCTTACAAAAAGTACTAGATGTAATAAAGAGTTAAAGTTTTAAAAGTCAATATAGAAAAGCTAAGGCAAAAAATAAAAATAAAAGAATATTTATCAAACCACCGGAAGAAGGCCAACTCTTTGAATGTTTTGATATGATCGAGAAAACCATAAAAGATGAACAAATTTGACTTAAACAGCTTATGCACGTACTTTGGAAAGTAAATAAGAGATCAGTAGAGAGATAAGAAATATGTGAAAAATATAATGAAGAGTTAATAGTGTTATCATTCAAGTAGCAGTAGTGGTAGTTGTGGTGGTGGTAGTGGTTGTAATTATGCTAAGCGAAATAAGCCAGTCAGAGAAAGGCAAATATCACATGATCTCACTTACACATGGAATCTAAAGAGCATAATAAACTGATGAACAAAACAGATCCAGTGACACAGAAGCATGGAACAGACCGAGGAATCTCAGAGGGAAGGTGGGGGTAGGAGGGTGGGGAAGTGGGGAGATTAACCAAAGAATTGATATGCATATGTGCATAACCCAAGGACAGGGAC